CCATTGTCAGTATTTGGTGACTTCGGCATGGTATTTCAATGAGATAGCACTATACAGTCGGCATCAGTTCCACGCCGTACCCCGTCTACGGATCTCATACACACGTACATGTACACTTACACAACATACACCGAGGCGCGTCCTTAAATGACCTTAGCTGTTAATACGACTTTTAACAAAATAAAACCAATTTTAACAAGAGCGGGTGGACTAATCGGTCCATCCCAGGTGCTTTAAATGCTATTGATATTTCGTTTAACATGCTGATAAAGTTGCTTTCTTCTAGAAGAGGTATAGATGATAAATCCTCGTCAGTAAATGTACTGGAGAAGAACGGGTTCAATAGATCAGATTTACGTTAGTTAGATGATATAAAAACTCCATCACTGTCCCCAAGGTCTGCAATTTCAGATGGTATTTTTGACTTAGACTGTATATAATTCCGAAAGGATTTAGAATCAGTTTTATATTCGCTGTTATTTTTTTCTCAAAATCTAGTTTGTCTAATCTACAAGCACATGATGCTCTGTTTCTCTTTTTCGCGTACCTGCACATCTCACAAGTTTTCCAGGCTTTCCTCTTCGCAGTAACTGATTTCAGTGCTTTCTTGTTTATCAAAAAATCATTTGTCGGTTTATTAAATGGATAATATTAAAGGGGCTGGTCGGGGAAAAAATGTCATATTTGCTAAAATGGCATACACATGTTTAAAATACTTCCTTATGAAATATACCGATTCAAATGTTGCTGAAATTCACTCCCTAAGAGTAAAAATTGTAATTACATTAAAGAAATCCTAAGGGGAGATAACACAGACGATACCGATTCCTCCAGAATAATTCTACATATTGGTTCATGATATCCTTAATTTGCACGCAATGGTTAGAGCTCCTCTCTCATTGATTTATGTAATCTCTTAAATAGTAATTAAAACATGGATGTCACTAGGCTTTCATTCTGATCCATGAGTAACATCCATGTAATCTTGAAAGCCATACACAAAGGGGCCGTGGTGGCCATGTGGTTCAGACGTCTGACATTCTACTACCACTAGCCCTCCACCACTTGGCCGCGGGTTCGAGACCTTCGTGGGGCAGTCGTCAGGTACTGGCCGTAGGTCGGTGGTTTTTCTCCGGGAACTCCGGCTTTACTCCACCGCTAAAACCTGGCACGTCCTTAAATGACCATAGCTGTTAATAGGACGTAAAACACAAACAAACCAAAGCCATGCTATACATAACTCATGTGTCGCTCGCGCCTAGAGGCGGACCTAGATACTCTAGATCGGTTACCATCTCCAAAGTTTAGTCTTGCTCATTTGAAAATATATTTAAAATCCTACCGTGACGTAGCCCGAGTTTCCTCTGGCCCCGACACCAGACTTAGCGAACATGTATATATCTGTCAGAATGTCTAAGTCTGATGTCAGGGCCAGAGGAAACTCGGGCTAACCGCGACGGTGATTGCACAGGTATTTGTTTCTGTCAATAAAAATAGTCATGAGAAAAAAAACATACCCTACTCATAAAATATATTATGAGTAGGGTGTGATTTTTTTTCTCTCATTACTGTTTTTATTGGCATACACAAATGCCTGTGTGGTTGATTGGACCACTTGATCGGTGTCTAGTTTAAGGAAAGATACTGGTGCTGATAACAGAGAACAAAGGTGTATGGTGGCATATTTATGCCCTCAACTTACGAGCTACCTATGTCGAAAAATTGTTAAACGATATGGTCATAATATATAAATATGTGGACCATTGTTCCTCATCATTTATGGAGAGAATCAAGCACTTCAAGAGTCCTTGGTTCTCTCGATTAATTGATGAGGAACAATGGTCGATACTTTCGTTTGATCTCATCAATTCCCAGTTCCAGCATCCATAATTGAAATGTCCCAATGTAAAGCTACATACATAGATAATTAATCCATGTTTAACAATTGAGTTGTAAGTTTCTTTGCACGACGACAGACTTCTGTAAATGTTCTCTATCAGTAGACTATTACTACCCTGAAGTTAACTCAGATCCAGAGGGGTTCAAATTTAAAATTACAATCCATACCGTGACGTAGGCCTACACAGGAACGTATATACCCCTTGGAGAGCTAGCCAGGACTCTAGATGTCCTAGAGCAAGGTAGACCAAAGAACATTATTGTGGGTGGTGATTTTAACCTACCAAACATTGACTGGTCAACCAAGAACTTCACAGGTGGTAGACATCCTGCTGATAGTGCCAACCTACCATCCATAGTCAACCAACACAGTCTAGACCAAGTGGTCACCGACCCCACCAGAATAACCGACACCACAAGCAACATACCAGACCTGTGTCTGGTAAACAACAGTTCTCTTGTGAATATGTGTAAAGTTGTTCCGGGTTTGAGTGATCACGACATACCATACGTCGAAATTAACTCGAGCGCGAGGATAAATAAGAAAAAACCAAGAAAGATTCACATCTATTCCAAAGCCAACTGGGATCAGATCAAGAGTGAACTTAGGGAATACGTAGCTACAGTGCTAGACATGAACAGTACCTCCACTGAGGACTTATGGAATAAACTTAAACAAAAAATCCACGAACTTATAGACTTGTACATACCATCCAAAATAACTAGTTGTAAACACCACCTCCCCTGGATCACCAAGGAAATTAAAAATCTTATTCGACAACGCGACAAGATATACGTCAAAGTTAAGAAACACCACCATCACAGTGAAAGGGACAAGCTACGTGAAATTAAGTCATTAGTGAAACGGAAACTACGACATGCATACACGGATTACATTAGAGGTATACTCGGGGAAGTAACAGATTCGGACTCGGACCAACCGACACCCGTCTCCAAAAGGTTTTGGTCCTTTGTAAAAAGCCTTAAGAAAGACTGTTGGTGTTGCGCCACTGAGAGACAACGGTCAGCTTATCTCCGGGGCGAAAGGGAAAGCGGAAGTCTTGAACTCCCAGTTCAAGTCTGTGTTCACCAAAGAGGACACAGATAACATCCCCAACAAAGGCCAAAGCAACCATCCAGATATGCCAGACATAACTATCTCGACCAGCGGTGTTAAAAAAACTCCTACAGAAAGTAAATCCGCATAAAGCGTCTGGCCCAGACACGATATCAGCGAAATTTATAAACGAATGTGCCGACGAACTCTCCCTTCTTGTGTCAATTTTTTTTCAACTGTCACTGCAACAAGGACATCCACCATCTGACTGGAAATCTGCGAACGTTACACCCATATTCAAAAAAGGCGAGAGATACAAAGCGTCCAACTACAGGCCTGTGTCCCTGACTTGTATACTAAGTAAGACTTTCGAGCACATCCCGGTCAGTAACAGCATTGACCATCTGACAGCCAATGAAATTCTACATGAAAGTCAACACGGTTTTAGATCTAAAAGGTCCTGTGAAACTCAACTCATATCACTAGTCCAAGACATATCCGCCAAATTAGACACCAGTGAGCAGATCGACCTGATTATTATGGACTTTAGCAAAGCCTTCGATAAGGGTCCCCATCGAAGGCTTGCTAACAAATTGGACTTTTAGGGCATCAGAGGAAATGTGAAAACATGGATCAGTGCTTTTCTTTCGGACAGAGAACAACGGGTAGTGGTGGATGGAGAAACATCAGACACAGCAGCAGTTGACTCGGGTGTCCCCCAGGGAACTTGCTTGGGACCGCTATTGTTCCTCCTTTATATCAACGACCTGCCGAACGACATCATATCCCAGGTTCGTTTGTTTGCCGACGACTGCATTCTGCATAGACCTGTAAAATCAGATGCAGACTGCACTCGCCTGCAGGACGATATCAACCGTCCACAGGAATGGGAAGAACTTTGGAAAATGTCTTTTAACATCGACAAGTGTAATGTGCTAAAGGACACCAAGAACAAACGGAAATTAGAACATTCCTACCTACTGCACGGTCAACTACTACAGGAAGTGTCATCAGCCAAATACCTGGGCGTGGAAATCTCATCCAATCTTTCATGGTCACCCCACATCAGCGCAATAACATCCAACGCCAACAGGACTCTCGGCTTCCTCAGGAGGAATCTTCGAAGCGCCCCAAAGAACATCAAGGAAACAGCGTACAAGACACTAGTAAGACCAAAAGTCGGGTACTGCTCCACAGTTTGGGATCCGTATACCACCAAGGACAAAGCTAAGCTGGAGATGGTTCAACGCCAAGGCGCGCGCTATGTCACTGGAAACTACACTAAAACACCAGGCACTGTAACAGAACTTTTGAACAATTTTAACTGGAAAACTCTAGAAATCGTAGGGAAACAGCCAGGATCATCTTCATGTACAAAATTGTCAACCACATAGTAGCTATTCCACCAGACCTGTACTTAATACCACAACAAGGAAGAACACGCACTCACAAGTCAGGGATTCCAAAGACCACACACTAGGACCAACACATACATGTACTCGTTTTTCCCCAGGACCATCACAGCGTGGAACATGGTGCCATTACACATCATTCAGACGACCCCCTTGGACCTGTTCAAGGCCCGGTTGAATGAATCGCGAGTACATGTATAAGACACTTCAAATTTTTAACCGCACTGTAAATACACACACCGCACTGAATATACACAAACCTGACTGTGCATACACCTATACGCACTTCACCTGCTGCCACGCATGTACAGTTGCACCTGTTCGGAATAATTCCCAGAGGATTGTGAACAGTATACAAGATAGATAGATAGATAGATAGATATAGTCTATATATCTACAACTAACGGTAATTAGCTAATATAACTTAACATAGTTAAATCATTCAATATATACAGTTTTAAGACAAAATACATTTACAGTCGCTTACTTTTACCACGGACTTAGATCTAATCTAATTCCGTGCTTTTACTATAATAATTTTACACGGAAAAACTGAAGAGTGGTTCGATAGGGGGATGTCAAATTTCCCGCTTACACATCCCATCTTGCGCTACACTCTTCTATGAAGGAGGTAGAAATTACGTCACTTCCGTTAAAAATACTAAGATGACATCTGAAAATGAGAAGAAATACACCGATCTCCTTGTACAGGAATTCGAGGAATGGCAGAAAGACGAAGATTCGGATATTGTGTTTCTTTTAGAGGTAAATATTGACTGTGACATTCTATGCCGCGCAAATGCGCAGTGTGAAATTCGACCATGAATATGTAAATATGTCCTCCATCACTACTAAAAATCGAACAAAATAGTAAACAAATATATTATTGCAGACAAGTTGACAGTCTAATAAACACGCATAAGATAATTTGCTCAGTTAAGTGGTTGCATAATAAGTATAATGTGTATATCAAAGAGACAGCCAAGTCAGGTTTTTCTTTGACATTTATAATCGGACCCTTTATCTGCTTTATAATCAACCAGACTTTTTTTTATCAGACCTACTGTACAGTACAAACCTATTAATTTATAAAACAGGCAATGCCAGACTCAAAATACTGATAATGGAATCGGAATAGGTAATATATCAACATGTAACATTCGGGCAGTGGGTGTACGATGTACAAGAGATGGATATATTCAATCGCAACATGGCTTGCTGCAGATAAATGCATAACATGATGAAACATTAATTCACATGAAAGGAAAATGTGATGGGGCTAGACTGGATTTTTTCCCTAATACTATTTCGTTTTTATTCCCCATCATGGAATTAGGTATTGGCATGATTGGGTCCCTGGGATCAATATGTGTCCCCTCTTAGAAGGCCTCTTTTTCAACACATTATTGACAATGAATATTTGACTCGATCTTACACACCAATTCATTTATTCATCCGTTGATGACTTTGTTCAACTTCCATCTTCTTCACATTTCACTATCAAAATATATAACTTTAACATGTCGTACAGTCTCCAGTCAGACTCTTTGCTGACGACTGCGCCATATATCGCATCATCAACAAGAGTGAGGATACTGCCATCCTACAGGACGACCTCAATGCCTTGCAAACTTGGGAGCGAGACTGGCAGATGGAGTTTCACCCGAACAAGTGTATCACCATCAACATTTCCAGGAAAAGAAACCCTATCCACACCAACTACCAACTCCACGGCCAAACCCTAGAGACTGTCCCCGGAAGCAAATACCTTAGAGCCTATATCAGCTTGGATCTCTCCTGGCATGAGCACATAAACCAAACCTCTGCCAAGGCTGCAAGATCGGTTGGATTCCTTCGGCGAAACCTTTGGGGATGCACAAGAGAAGTCGAGGCCCAGGCTTATACTACTCTCGTTAGGCCCGTGCTTGAGTATGCCTCCACTGTCTGGGATCCCCATCTTCAACAACAGAAGGACCAACTTGAGAGAGTCCAGCGACAAGCTGCTAGATTCGCCACGAGGGACTACTTCAACAGAGAACCAGGATGTGTCACAAACATGCTGCGTCAACTAGCTTGGGAGCCACTAGAGCAACGAAGAGCCAGAAACAGGACGCTCATGTTCTACAAAATTATCAACAATCTGGTTGAGGTACCAATACATCAGGACATTACCGTAACATCAAGAAGAACCAGAGGAGCTACTGCTAACAACATACAGCAAATTCCAACAAAGGTCGACACATACCGATACTCGTTTGTACCACGTACCATCAACACATGGAATCGACATATGATCGTCTCCCACCCTGGATAGCTTCAGGCACGCCCTCGTATAGTACCAGGCAGCCGGCCACCAATACGCTATGTAGACTCCACTGTTTTTACCTCTTTTAATCTGTACATACGAAAGTTTTAGCTGCGGTCGGCATAAGTCACGCTGGAGAACTCAACACTCTAGATAGAGTATTCTCTATTAAAGGAAGAAGAAGAAGAAGAAGAAGAAGAACATATTGTGATTAAAATATATGTTTAAGGATGATAATATATAAGAAAATCTTTTTTTAATTAGGTCCATTTGGACATATACATACTTGTGTTTTCAATGTGGTAATACAGTAATAAACTATTGGAACAAATATTTATAGTTAAGAGCTGACTACAATAGCATTATAGTAAAGTCTGCTTGTTACTAGTTGTAGTAGTTCAGCTCTCATTTGGAAACATCCTTGTCACTTCACATATTTCTAATGAATGATATTTTGAATAAAGAATTTAGATAAATAGCAACAATAATGTACATGCAAGTGAGCCTTTCTCTCCCATATTCACTTCTAATACTCAATCACTCCATCTCAATTTGTATGCATGTCAAACTGAAATATATATAGCACTAATTAAATAAAAACATCAATATATTCATTGGCAGAATTTATTTCAGTCTCAGTTAACAAGCACCCCAGTCAGAATATCCATCTCTAGCATTAACTGATGATGAGGTAGCTGTTTAGGAGGACTAACAATAATCCAGACTGGAACTGGCATCTGTAACAGCTATACAAACTAGACACTCTAGCAAATGGAGCAAGTTGTAACCTGATCACTGGCAATCCCGCTTACACACACCCCTTTCTGAGTCTTCACCCACAAACTGAAGATTACATAGTATTAAATCACAGTTTTGGTGACACATTTCTTAGAAAATATACCGATGGACATTGAGCAGTCTGGTCACCAACAGACATCTGGCTCAGTCCTGTTACAATTACATGTATTATAACCTGTTAAACAGAAGAAAGAGAAATGCACAACCAGACCGTGATTCGAACCCAAGACCCTCTGAACTGGAGATAGATGCTCTACCAATCAAGCTACATTGTCACTGATGATCCACCCAGTCCAGTACCACTATATTCCTCCCTCCCTTTTCTAAGTCTTTGTCCCTGAATGCAGAACTATTCACAACCGTGGGTATCCCCTTGCCAAGCATTTACCAACTGCTTGAAGCAAGGGTTGGCAAACTTGTCGATTTTGTAACAGGAGAAAGAAATGCACAGCCAGACCAGGATTCAAACCTGGGACTATCTAAACTCTAGACCCAGTTCCGCTTCATACTGAAAACAATCTTTGACTGACTGACACTGCATTTTTGACAATAAAACAACATACCAAAAACATTTTGAAAATTTTATGTTTTTAAAAGAAGTTCATGCAAAAGAGCAAATATGTTCATAATTTTTTTTACTGAGCCATGATAAAGAAAAGGGGAGCACTGCATGGGTATATTTGTCTATAATTTCTTAAATTTAAGAAAAGAATACGAAACAGATTCTTTTGTTGAACTATAATGATTGTCAATTTAATCTGTCATCAAAGCAGTAAAATGTTTGTGAACTATTACAAGATACTGAAGATATATGATTCTTTTTAAATCATATCCCATTGGTAGTGATTCAGCTGTGTGATTTTGTGTGAGTTAGACAAGATAAATCCTAATGTGTTGACTATTGCGTTGATTTCAGGCTACAGGGAAGGACAATGGTGGAGCCACTCTGAGTCTGTTGCTGGCATGTGAACATGAGTTCAAACTTCTTGTCCCGATAGGTAAGATTGTTTAACAATGATTGGTTTATACTGATATATGCATATGGCTGACCATAAGGTAGGATTAGAAAATCTGTATAAGATTTTATGCCTAGTACCACAATGTAATATTGCTATATCTTCTAAATAGCTGAACCTTTCTTCATGAAACTTTTCAGATATGTTTATCATGACCAAACAATGTGTCACATGTCACTCAGACCTTAAGGTCAAGGTCAGGGTAATGGATCAAATCATTGTTATGCTTACACCTGGTTTAACCAGTATATTTTGGGATGGCAGAGTGTAAAGTACAAAAAGAAGATCACGGTAACGTTTTTGGGTACAGAGCTTCGCTAACAGGATAATACTAGTACACAAACTGCAACTGGGTACCTGGTTACCTGTTCCAGTCCTAGTGCAGAGTACAAGAAAATTATCTCTAAGATAGGTGTACAGCTCAGTGGTAATAATCTATAATACATAGTTTCTATATCATATGTACTAGACATAGAAAAACATTCCCCCATTTGGGGCCATCCATTTCTAAATCAGAGTATGTGCCAAGAACATTCATATTAATCATATTGATATGATCTATATAAAGCTAGAAGTTGATTGGCTGCTACAACTTTGACCAGTGACGTGATGTCTGATCCAATTTCATCTTTCAGACAGTTTGGTACAGAGCCATCATAATCCATCAAAGAGACTATATGTACATACTGTATAAATGTGGGATATGTCCCCGTTCCCCTCCCCATTGGAGGCAGAGGAAGAGAGTCAAAACAAATAAATAGGGGAAATGACTACTTCTACAGTGCAGATGAAAGAGTTTTACTTTAGTAACATTATTTGGTATAAAGGATCCCTAGACCAAGGGAACTCAAAGTCATATAAACAAAGGGTATGGTCCTACATGTGCTACATGTTAATTTTGTTACCCTACCTGGCTGTTATCATTGTTAGCTCACCTAGCCCAAGGGCCAAGTGAGCTTATGGCATGGTGCAGCCTCCGTCGTCCGTCCGTCCGTCGTCCGTCCGTCCGTCGTCGTAACCAAAAGGCCTAGGGTGATGATATTTGGCCAGTAGCATGCTGGGATGAAGGGCTATCACGTTTGTTCAGAAGAATGGCCCTGACCAACTTTCAAGGTCACATGTGTCAAATGTCTTAAAATCTTCAAACAACTTCTTCTCAATAACCAAAAGGCCCAGGGTAGTGATATTTGGCCTGTAGCAATCAGGGCTACCAAATTTGTTCAAATGAATGACCTTGACCCACTTTCAACCTAATGTCATTGTTTGACATTCAGGGTCACACTGATATTCTGCCTGTAGCTGTATTTTAGTCCACTTTTAAGATTACAAGTGTGAGATTAATACCAGGTGAGCGATGCAGGCCCATTGGGCCTCTTGTTATTAAAATCAAGATGGTAGCTGACTGTCAATCTGACATTGGGTCATATTCTGGCTCTGGGCCTCTTGTCCCTCTTTATACTTTTCTGTAAATTTCACACTTTTGAATATTTTTTTACTTTTGTAATAAAGCCAATAAAAATAAGATTTTGTTAAGTTATCATTTTGTTAAGTTGTTATTTTCCATTACCAGGGTATCCAGACTATGAAGATCATTTCTTTGTGGAATCTGACCCAGTCATAAAAGAATGGAGCTCTGCTTTTAACGAGGTCAGTCTTACCGAATTTTCCTTTTTCACTTTTCATGCAGTGATCTGTAAAATTGAATTGAGGGGACCTGGAGTTAGCTGGTGAAATGTGCCCAGTCTTACAAGGTTTGAAAATGTGAAAATGTGAAATGGCTTTATTTTAGGGACATGTCCTCATTTTCCCCTTCATCCATGTTGCTTCTTGAATGATGATGGTACTCGGTAAATACATTACTTTTAATGAGATTATTATGTTATATGGTACTGAACAAATATACATACATGATTTAATATGAGTCCATGTTACAACAAATGTATCGACCGATTTAAAAGTTCTTTTTTCATTTAGATAGTGCAGTACTGTACATATTCTGCTGTTGGTCTATTTAATAATAACAGTTAAGTCATGGAGCCTTCGTTGTCCATGTTTGCCACCTTTGTTAATGATGATGTGATGTGATAATGTTATAAGTTCTGCTAATTAGTATGTTTCTATTAAACTCAAAATGATAGAACACCAAATGAAAAATAGTGTTCAGTAGTGAAAAAAATGGTACTAAATAAGGCTCTTTATTGGAAACAGTGGGTAAATGTAAATACCATTGGTCATGTGATGATATGAGGAAAACTTCTATCGTTTATACCTATATATATATGTTGACAGTTCCTCCTCGATCCAAGACAGAAGCTATGTTTAAGGGATGTTTTGAACAAGTGAGTACACTAAACACTCTATTATTTTTGATCAGATTCCATGTCTCCTTTAATTAATGTCATCAAGGCCAGTAACATTTGTGGTAGAATATGTTGTTATACCTTTTATCAGAAGCATTGTTCTCTTGTAGTCACTACAGACCATTCTGTTTCAGGCCCATTGTGCCTCTTGCAAGAATCACCATATGAGACAGCTTTAAGTCTATGTATGGTGAGAGTTGTATGTCTGATATCTAGGTCTAGATGCCATCTATGTCTGCTGTGTTGTATGTCTTTTGTATCCATGCCTTGGTGTATACTTCTATAGAGCGGTGAGTCTACAAAGGGAAGAGAAGGAGCGTGGTAGCAACAGTCCAATCACATCAGAGGTAAGCAAGTAGTGGTGTTTGTGATGTAATTAAGTGTTTATGTGTTATAAAATGAATAACAATCTTAATAACTATGTTCGTAAAACAAGATGTTAACGATACAATGTTCTAGATTTTGCTATGTAATTGTTCACAGATTTTGATCAAGCTTTGTAATCCAAAGTTCTGGTATGAGAATACTTTCAATAGTTTTGTATTTCAGGAACCAAATGTCAATGTCAGCAGTATTTTTTGTAGGAAGTCCAAAAAACACTAATTTGCATGGGAGCATGGATATTCCTGTCCAATAGACATTTTCATGTCACACCACATAGTGGTGTAGGGAATTTAGTGTTACTTTGTCCATCTTTAACCTCACATTGTGTACAGCATGTTTCACAGCAATTTTGTAAGCTTCAGCTTTGACCTTAACCTTTGCGACTTGGAACAATTTTTTGCGTTCAGGTTATAGACTAAGTACAGGGTCGCACAACTTAACGTGCCAATGCTCTAATGATCCTCTCTGAGTACAGCATGTTGTGTGACATTTTGTAATATTGACCTTCTACCTTGATCTCGGTAATCTTGCTTTAGTTCTTAGGTTTGACAATGGGACATCTGTGTCTTAGACACATTTCTACATTTCTAGTCTAATTCAGAACAAATTGCCCAGTATTTTCATGGTTCTACCCCCGCAACAAAGTTAGGGGGGGGGGGGGTATACCCTGGTACTGGAATCACCATGTCAGCATGTTTCTGGATATCTGTCTATCGTCCGCAGTAACTTATCCGGAAAACTTCTCCTTAACTAACAGGTGGATTTCATTGAAACTTTGCATGAATGATCGGTATATTATGCAGTTGTGTACCGACATTTTGATTTGGGATTTCAACCCTTTTCGGTGGAGTTATGCCCCTTTGTGTGAAATACTTGTTACTGGTGGGAGACTATATTGCTTTGCCTTAGTAAGTGTTTACCTTACAGTTCTGGTTTATATAGGAGAGGGGTATAGTTAACCTTTACCTTACAGCTCTGGTTTATATAGGAGAGGGGTATAGTTAACCTTTAGCTTACAGCTCTGGTTTATATAGGAGAGGGGTATAGTTAACCTTTACCTTACAGTTCTGGTTTATATAGGAGAGGGGTATAGTTAACCTTTAGCTTACTGTTCTAGTTGTTCATGGTTTTGCTATCCTTGTGGGAGTGGTGAAGGGCAGCAGCTATGCAATATGTGGTGGTCCCTGGCCCTTTGACATGGATATGTGTATTAATTCCCCCATTGACCAAAGATCTTGTATGTTCCAGGTACATTTGTGTATGACTTGTGGCTTTTTGATTCTGACAGACTTAGACAAGTCTGAGATTGTTTGGACATGTTGATTGGTGTGTTATAGCCCTGGATTAGTTTTATGAACCTCATTTGTTTATTAAATTTCCTATTCTTTCCCAGGAGGAATTCAGTGATGATGCTAAAATGGAAGAAGAAGATGAAGAGGTGAGTAAATGTTGTATTAATTTGCCTTTGTAATAGTGTATTTATTAAGATTCTTGAAGTATTGAGAGATTGTCATTTCATGTCCAAGCCCTGTCTCACTCTTACAAATGCCTTTTCATAGAATGTACATGTCCAAAATAATCATAAACATAGAGCATCTTGTTCTTATTTCATTACTGAGCAGTTAAATTCTGAAATCAACCAGCTGTGTATTGATATTGTTATTTGCTGTGATGTCACCCCTGAAAAGAGATGATGGTGTTTGAAATATTTTTTTATCTACAGGAGATGATCTTGGCTGATGATGATGCATTTACAACAGAATGGGATTTACACTTGGCAAGAAAAAAGGTAAATTTTCTGCAAAGTTGTCTTCTTTTCAGTCATTTACACAGCAATCTTTGTACCAGTCATCACATAACCTCACAGTTACACATCCATCAGTGTAAATTTTACCACAGTTGTCACATTATCTCACAGTTACTCTGACATCAGGGTAAATTTTACCACAGTTGTCACATTATCTCACAGTTACTCTGACATCATGGTAAATTTTACCACAGTTGTAACAATATCTCAGTTACACTTCCATCAGTGTAAATTTAAGACAGTTGTCACATTATCTCACAGTTACTCTGACATCATGGTAAATTTTACCACAGTTGTCACATAATCTCACAGTTACACTGATATGATGGTAAATTTTACCACAGTTGTAACAATATCTCAGTTACACTTCCATCAGTGTAAATTTAAGACAGTTGTCACATAATTTCAGTTACACTGATATCATGGTAAATTTTACCAAAGTTGTAACAATATCTCAGTTACACATCCATCAGTGTAAATTTTACCACATTTGTCACATTATCTCACAGTTACTCTGATATCATGGTAAATTTCACCACAGTTGTCACATTATCTCAAAGTTACACTGACATCATGGTAAATTTTACCACTGTTGTCACATAATCTCACAGTTACACATCCATCAGTGTAAATTTAAGACAGTTGTCACATAATCTCATAGTTACACTGATATCATGATAAATTTTACCACATTTGTCACATTATCTCACAGTTACTCTGATATCATGGTAAATTTTTCCACTGTTGTCACATAATCTCAGTTACACTTCCATCAGTTTAAATTTACCAGTCATCACATTATCTCACAGTTACACAGCAATCTTTGTAAATTTACCAGTCATCACATTATCTCACAGTTACACAGCAATCTTTGTAAATTTACCAGTCATCACATTATCTCAAGTTACAAAGCAATCTTTGTAAATTTACCAGTCATCACATTATCTCACAGTTAACACAGCAATCTTTGTAAATTTACCAGTCATCACATTATCTCAAGTTACACAGCAATCAGTGTAAATTTTACCAGTCATCACATTATCTCAAGTTACACATCCATCAGTGTAAATTTTACCACATTTGTCACATTATCTCACAGATGCAATGACATCATGGTAAATTTTACCATTGTTGTCACATTATCTCGCAGTTACACTTACATCATGGTAAATTTCACCACAGTTGTCACAGATGTGTGAATCGATAAATATATATCTAAGTAACCATAAGGAAAAAAGGTGGTTCTATTTGGCTAAAAGCATGATAGGATAAAGGGCTAACAAATTCAAAGGAATGACCTTTAGTTACTTTCAGGTCACAGATGTTGAATTTGTAAAATATCTTTGAAGCTATTTCTGCTCCATAACCAAAAGCCCTAAGGTGGTGATAGTTGGCCTTTAGCTAAGTCCATTTTAATTTGTTTGAACTTGGTACACGTAAAGGTTACTGGCTTGAGATTTATACCAGGTGAGCGATGCAGGCCCATTAGGCCTCTTGTTTAGTTAATACATTTGCGTTTTATTTTTGTTTTGTAGAAACGATGGGCTCAGAAGGAAGCCCAAATCAGGGAAGAGATGGAGAAAGTTCGGACATCTCAAGGTAAGTGGGACTTGTTCATTCTACAAAGATATTTGGATCTAAGATAACATTGTTAATGTGAAAAACTTCAAAGAATCATGTTTATCAAAATGAAAATTAGTGACTAGTATCAAATTAGTTGTTCAGGTGCTAAAATGATAGTATTTAATGTAGATACTGAACACACAAAATATTTTTAAACCCCTAGCTAAAAGATTGCAATGAATTATCATGACTTGGTAGCAAGTTTTAGCAGATACTTCAGATATACTTATTTTTTGAAATGATACAGTTGGCACAAAGTAATTGACACTTAGTATCTACTACCTTGTGTCTAATTAACAATTTTGAAAAATTCTCCCTTTAGCTGTCAATTTCTGAATCAAGTCTTCCCTACCAGGGAGAATATCAAACCAATCTCACGACTCAAGCCATTAGCATAAGAATCAGTGTTTATCTCAACTGCTCGGATACTGGTTAAGGAAACATTTTTTTGTGTTTATTGATATACAGCTGGTGTTTCAATGAGTCCCAGTATGGACAACAAGCCCTCTAAGCAGATCTTCACCAGTAACGCTGCTGCAGGAATCCTCACCAATGACCTCGTCAACATCATGGAGGGTGAACAGGTCAGATTTACCTCAATATTAATTAGAATCTGTTTAATAAAGGGGTAAGCAAGCTACTTTACAAGCAATTGCATTTTCTGCATAATATGTTTAAATTTGAATATTGATGATATTCTATGGTGAAATTGTTGTGTATTATGAGTCATTTCAGTTAAAACTAGTTCTAATGAAAATGATGTAAAATAGACATTACACCCCATTAATTGAAAAAATTGAAATCGTCACAATGTATTATAATTACACTTCACCATTACCGTAGGTATTGTTTCTAGCAGACACACACCATATTACACTTAGCATAACCACAAGCTTCCCTAATAGAAACACACATATCATTAAAAAGAGATGATGGTTATCAATCTTTTTGTTATGAAAGACTTTTTTGAATTGCACAAGTGATAAATTATTTAAATAGCTGTTATTACTCTTGTTACATCCATCATTTTCGCAGGAAGTCGGATTCACAGCTGAGCCAATTGATGATAACATCTATAACTGGAGAGTGAAGATATTCAACTTTGCTGAAAGGTAACACACAACATATTAGTCATTTAACTTTGCTGGAAGATAACACACAACACATTAGTCATTTAACTTTACTGAAAGGTAACACCCAACATATTAGTCATTTAACTTTACTGAAAGGGAACACACAACATATTAGTCATTTAACTTTACTGACAGGTAACACACAACATATTAGTCATTTAACTTGACTGAAAGGTAACACACAACATATTAGTCATATAACTTTACTGAAAGGTAACACACAACATATAAGTCATTTAACTTTACTGAAAGGTATCACACAACCTATCAGTAATTCAACTTTACTGAAAGGTAACACACAACATATTGGTCATTTAACTTTGCTGAAAGGTAACACACAACCTATCAGTAATTTAACTTTACTGAAAGGTAACACACAACATATAAGTCATTTAACTTTACTGAAAGGTATCACACAACATATTAGTCATTTAACTTTGCTGGAAGATAACACACAACACATTAGTCATTTAACTTTACTGAAAGGTAACACCCAACATATTAGTCATTTAACTTTACTGAAAGGTCACACACAACATATTAGTCATTTAACTTTGCTGAAAGATAACACACAACACATTAGCCATTTAACTTTACTGAAAGGAAACACACAACATATTAGTCATTTAACTTTGCTGAAAGATAACACACAACACATTAGCCATTTAACTTTACTGAAAGGAAACACACAACATATTAGTCATTTAACTTTACTGGAAGGTAACACACAACCTATCAGTAATTCAACTTTACTGAAAGGTAACCCACAACATATTAGTCATTTAACTTTGCTGAAAGATAACACACAACACATTAGTCATTAAACTTTACTGAAAGGTAACACACAACATATTGGTCATTTAACTTTGCTGAAAGGTAACACACAACCTATCAGTAATTCAACTTTACTGAAAGGTAACACACAACATATTGGTCATTTAACTTTGCTGAAAGGTAACACACAACCTATCAGTAATTAAACTTTACTGAAAGGTAACACACAACATATTAGTAATTTAACTTTGCTGAAAGGTAACACACAACATATTACTCATTTAACTTTACTGAAAGGTAACACACAAGATATTGGTCATTTAACTTTACTCAAAGGTAACACACAACCTATCAGTAATTCAACTTTACTGAAAGGTAACCCACAACATATTAGTCATTTAACTTTCCTGAAAGGTAACACACAACATATTAGTCATTTAACTTTGCTGAAAGATAACACACAACACATTAGTCATTTAACTTTACTGAAAGGTAACACACAACATATTAGTCATTTAACTTTGCAGAAAGGTAACAAACAACATATTAGTCATTTAACTTGGCTTAAAGGTAATACACATCATTTTTAGTCATTTAACTTTGCTGAATGGTAACACAACATATTTCTCATTTTACTTTGCTTCAAGGTATTGCGTTGCATATTTAGCTATTTAACTTTGCTAAATGGTAATACACAGCATATTTAGTCCCTTTACTTCAAGGTGACAAGTGAAGAACTGTCAATGAGCTTATACCTCTGGTAAACACGATGTACTACATGCAAGAATATCATCACCTTCTGGTTGACTGAAACTATTTAAACTTTATATCCATTCCTAGTCTCTGGTGATTGATGGTTGAACAGAAAAGTCATCATAGATAGCAGTTCAGTCTTAATTTAGTTTTTAGCCCGTAATTTTTTTTTTTTTTTTTTTTTAATTTTCATATTATATATTGTAGTGATCTGGCCAAAGACTTGAGTGAAATCAGGGAGAAATTTGGGTACGACTACATTGAGCTGGAAATGGTGAGTGATATCTTCTCCGCCGCCTTCTCAGATAATCAGTTAATTAAATATCATGTTACCTATAGTTACAGGTAGTGTATGCAATTGCTGATTTGTAGAATGTAGTCAATCACTTCTTCGTTTAATGTAATAGTGAAATCATACTTGCCAAATAATTGAAAGTAGTATTAAATAGAATGCATGAAATTTTGCTGAAACTTAATTGCAAAAATATTTTCTTGTTTGTGAAAAAAAACGGAAAAAAAGTATTGATCTAGGCCTAGTGTTGTACTTAGATGGTCTTATGAAGTTATTCTTATTGCAGACCTTCGAGATTGACCTGTACCCATTTTACCCGCCACTTGTCAAGGTCATGAGACCAAGATTACAGGTATGTTCTGTATATTCTGCTTATTATCACTCTGTGAGACAAGAGATTAAGACCTTATTTCAACAGGGTTCCATAACAGTTGGTAACTGGTGTACTTAGCTCCTATCTTATTAATTTATAATAATAATAATAAAAATTTGAGGTTCTTATATACCGCTTTATCACAACCAAGTTCGTTGGACGTCTCAAAGTGGTTCACAAATTATTATCCGTGGTTATTTACATGGTTCCATATTACTGGGGGTGACTGATGTATGAAATCCACTCTATGTTGTTCATTTCCAGAGTTCTGCAGTACAGGGGGTATCTTTTACAGAGTTCTATGTTACAGGGAGTGACTGATGTATGTGCTATCTTTTTAACTTACAGGGTTCCATGATGCAGAGGGTGACAAACATGGAGTTGCTGAAACTCTCCTATTGGTGTCCAACTAAGGACATGAAGACCGTTATAAAGGAGATCAAAACCTTTCTACAGCAATGGGCTCGGTAAATATTCAGGAAAGGGGGAGGTAGGGCACATCCTCTGTAAATTTCCAAGAAGGTTGGGCTTGAGAAGATGATAGGGTTAGAGAAAAATATTGGATGTGTAAGGAGGGGGATAGGAGTTGCGTGTTTGGATTTAGAGGAGGGGATGCAGAGTTGGGGGGGGGGGTTGGAAGAAAGTAGTTTCAGTAATATGTCTGCTCAGATAGTTAGTTCCTTTTGTCGCATACTTTGTTTCAGGAGACCATCAAGGGGACTGGAGCATTTGGTTGGATCTAACATTGTGTCTGTAAATCCAAACTAACATCATTTAGACCATTAAATTATGTCCTATATTACAGCTGGTTTCGCAGTATTTCTTAAATATTTAGTATGTATAGGAACACCAGTCTTGTATCTGACCTCAATATAATATTGTATAACTTTGTACTTGTTGTATGTATCCAGACTGGAGGTAGACAGTGAGAGGAACGACCTGAAGAGGTATCCCCACGGAGCATACCTGGAAATGGAACACCACCTCCTTACGCTGGCGTTGGTTAGTATATACACAACCTCCTTACGCTGGTGTTGGTTACTATATACACCACCTCCTCACGCTTGCGTTGGTTACTATATACACCACCTCCTTACGCTGGCGTTGGTTACTATATACACAACCTCCTTACGCTGGCGTTGGTTAGTATTTACACCACCTCCTGACGCTGGCGTTGGTTACTATATACACCAACTCCTCATGCTGGCATTGGTTAGTATATACACCACCTCCTTACGCTGGCGTTGGAAATTATATACACCACCTCCTTGCGCTGACGTTGGTTAGTATACACACAACCTCCTTATGCTGGCGTTGGTTAGTATTTACACCACCTCCTGACGCTGGCGTTGGTTACTATATACACCAACTCCTCATGCTGGCGTTGGTTAGTATATACACCACCTCCTCACGCTGGCGTTGGTTAGTATATATACCACCTCCTTACGCTGGCGTTGGTTAGTATATACACCACCTCCTTACGCTGGCGTTGGAAATTATATACACCACCTCCTTGCGCTGACGTTGGTTAGTATACACACCACTTCCTTATGCTGGCGTTGGTTAGTATTTACACCACCTCCTTACACTGGCGTTGGTTACTATATACACCAACTCCTCATGCTGGCGTTGGTTAGTATATACACCGCCTCCTCATGCTGGCGTTGGTTACTATATACACCACCTCCTTACACTGGCGTTGGTTAGTATATACACCACCTCCTCATGCTGGCGTTGGTTACTATATACACCACCTCCTTACACTGGCGTTGGTTAGTATATACACCACCTCATGCTGGCCTTGGTTAGTATATACACCACCTCCTCATGCTGGCGTTGGTTAGTATATACACAACCTCCTTACGCTGGCGTTGGTTAGTATATACACCCCCTCCTCACGCTGGCGTTGGTTAGTATATACACCACCTCCTCATGCTGGCTTTGGTTAGTATATACACCACCTCCTTACGCTGGTGTTGGTTAGTATATACACCCCCTCCTTACGCTGGCGTTGGTTAGTATATACTCCACCTCCTTACCCTGGCGTTGGTTAGTATATACACAACCTCCTTACGCTGGCGTTGGTTAGTATATACACCACCTCCTTACGCTGGCGTTGGTTAGTATATACACCATCTCCTTACCCTGTCGTTGGTTAGTATATACACCACCTCCTTACGCTGGCGTTGGTTAGTATACACACCATCTCCTTACCCTGTCGTTGGTTAGTATATACACCACCTCCTCACGCTGGCGTTGGTTACTATATACCCCCCCTCCTTACGCTGGCGTTGGTTAGTATATACACTACCTCCTCACGCTGGCGTTGGTTAGTATATATACCACCTCCTTACGCTGGCGTTGGTTAGTATATACACAACCTCCTTACGCTGGCGTTGGTTAGTATATACACAACCTCCTTACGCTGGCGTTGGTTAGTATATACACCACCTCCTCACGCTGGCGTTGGTTAGTATATATATACACTGTATAATATACCAAACATTCACATTGTTACAACTTTCACGTATTGATGGTTGCAGTAGAATAAGAAAATAATTAAAGATCTTTAAAATTTAAAGCAATAAATGTATTCTGTATCTGAAATTTACATGGGTTTTTTTATGATTGTTTACAACTCAGGATACAAACATGTTAATGTACTTTGCTATGTTTTAATTTTGTTTAATCAGGTCAGTGAAGTTGTACCACGTGTGAACCAGAGATACCAGTTAAATGTGGATGGGCTGAAATCTGCCCCAGCATCAATGGTAGGTAACACTGAAATCTGCCCCAGCTTCTGTGGTAGGTAACCCTGAAATCTGTCTCAGCTTCTATGGTAGGTAACACTGAAATCTGCCCCAGCTTCTTTGGTAGGTAACCTTGAAATCTGTCTCAGCTTCTAGGGTAGATAACCCTGAAATCTGTCTCAGCTTCTATGGTAAGTAACACTGAAATCTGTCTCAGCTTCTATGGTAGGTAACACTGAAATCTGTCCCAGCTTCTATGGTAGGTAACACTGAAATCTGTCTCAGCTTCTGTGGTAGGTAACCCTGAAATTTGCCCCAGCTTCTTTGGTAGATAATACTGAAATCTGTCTCAGCTACTATGGTAGGTAACACTGAAATCTGTCTCAGCTTCTATGGTAGATAACCCTGAAATTTGCCCCAGCTTCTTTGGTAGATAATCCTGAAATCTGTCTCAGCTACTATGGTAGGTAACACTGAAATCTGTCTCAGCTTCTATGGTAGGTAACACTGAAATTAGTCTCAGCTTCTTTGGTAGATAACACTGAAATCTGTCTCAGCTTCTATGGCAGGTAGCACTGAAATCTGCCCCAGCTTCTATGGTAGATAACCCTGAAATCTGCCTCAGCTTCTGTGGTAGGTAACACTGAAATCTGTCTCAGCTTCTATGGTAGGTAACACTAAAATCTGTCTCAGCTTCTGTGGTAGGAAACCCTGAAATTTGCCCCAGCTTCTATGGTAGGTAACCCTGAAATCTGTCTCAGCTTCTGTGGAAGGTAACCCTGAAATTTGCCCCAGCTTCTATGGTAGGTAACCCTGAAATCTGTCTCAGCTTCTGTGGAAGGTAACCCTGAAATTTGCCCCAGCTTCTATGGTAGGTAACCCTGAAATCTGTCTCAGCTTCTAGGGTAGATAACCCTGAAATCTGTCGTAGCTTCTATGGTAAGTAACACTGAAATCTGTCTCAGCTTCTACAGTAGGTAACACTGAAATCTGTCTCAGCTTCTATGGTAGGTAACACTGAAATCTGTCTCAGCTTCTGTGGTAGGTAACCCTGAAATTTGCCCCAGCTTCTTAGGTAGATAACACTGAAATCTGTCTCAGCTACTATGGTAGGTAACACTGAAATCTGTCTCAGCTTCTATGGTTAGTAACCCTGAAATCTGTCTCAGCTTCTATGGTAGGTAACACTGAAATCTGCCCCAGCTTCTTTGGTAGGTAACCCTGAAATCTGTCTCAGCTTCCAGGGTAGATAACCCTGAAATCTGTCTCAGCTTCTATGGTAGGTAACACTGAAACCTGCCCCAGCTTCTTTGGTAGGTACCCCTGAAATCTGTCTCAGCTTCTCTGGTAGATAACCCTGAAATCTGTCTCAGCTTCTGTGGTAGGTAACCCTGAAATTTGCCCCAGCTTCTATGGTAGATAATCCTGAAATCTTCCTCAGCTTCTGTGGTAGGTAACACTGAAATCTGCCTCAGCTTCTGTGGTAGGTAACACTGAAATCTGCCCCAGCTTCTTTGGTAGATAACACTGAAATCTGTCTCAGCTTCTATGGTAGGTAACACTGAAATCTGTCTCAGCTTCTTTGGTAGATAACACTGAAATCTGTCTCAGCTTCTATGGTAGGTAACACTTAACTCTGTCTCAGCTTCTATGGCAGGTAGCACTGAAATCTGCCCCAGCTTCTATGGTAGATAATCCTGAAATCTGCCTCAGCTTCTGTGGTAGGCAACACTGAAATCTATCTCAGCTTCTATGGTAGATAACCCTGAAATCTGTCTCAGCTTCTATGGTAGGTAACACTGAAATCTGCCCCAGCTTCTGTGGTAGGTAACACTGAATGAAGCGTTGAGAAGATTAGAGAAGAACCTTATAAGAGCTCAAGTGTAGGAGCTTCATTTACATCACAGAAGGCTGAAAGAACTCAAAGAAGGGGCTTACCTCAGATCAGGGAAGAAGCTTTAAGGAACTCAAATCGGAGCTCTCTTCAGATAATCTTGAGTGAGGTTGGAGAAGAAGTTAGAGTGAAAGCAGGAAAATATCTTTCAGGATTGAAGAGAATAAACCTGAGTGAGGTCTGAAAAATTGTTTGAGTGTGCTTTGAATAAAGTTTATGGAATTTGAAAACTGAATGAACGTGAAAAAAACCCACTTAACATAGCAGAGAACCCCAAGACAAACCCCCTGGTCTCACCACCTATGATTGGTAATGGAAATGAGTAGACAGTAGACAGGGAAAACAGTACAAGTAAACTGTCTGTGAGACTATCGAATCTTTGAGGATCACGACTGGCCCATTGCCTAAATTTCTTTATTATAATCTGGAAATATTACCATATATTCTACCTTGTTATTTATAATCAGGTTGTTTAAGATACAATGGGAATATGTCCACATCTGATCATATTCAGAAACAGTAGTTCTGAGCCCCAACAAGCACCCAATGAAACTAATTAGACTTTGAGATGGCTGGATAACTGGGATAACTTTGTATAGAAGACTCATATCTCTCCCAAAAAGTATGGTGACTGGATTGTGTGAGGCCCAGATAATTGATGTCTAAACAAGATTTGGCTATGTATAGTTATCAATAATCAATACAATTTTCTTTTAATTTTGGTATGCTTTTGTTTTAGAATGAGAAGAAATTGGCTAAAAATGACCTGGAGTATTGGGCCAAGGGTATTGGTTACGGACACCAGTTTCGGCCAGGTATTGTCTCCCATCATGTAAATGCATACAAGTATATCACCTGATACTCCAGAGAGATCATTATTGAGAGTCTTTTTCGATGTATATAGAAAGCTAGTTAAAATCATCATAATGCTATCATGTACTTAAAAATGTTGAAAGAGAAAATATTCCATATGAAATGCAGGCAAAATCAAATTAGACTTTCCGTTTTTGTTTCATTTAAATTCATCATTGTTACAGAATGGGACATCAATGCCTACATAGCGGCCCAGAAAGAAAAAGATAACAAGGTAGGTATAAAGTAAAACCTTGATACATGCCTATTTCCAAAATGATGAATCTTATTGAAGAAAAAAATACTGATGTTGTATATTTTGCACATTGCCTGCTGTAATATCACATGTCATGAACAAATATGCTACAAAATTACTTGTAGAGTGGATATTTTTGTCCTAATTTTATTGTCTCCATTAAATGTGATGGTAAAACTAATTTAAAAAGTTGCCTGGTTTATATCGTACAGTGTACAATAAAGCAATATTCATAAAACAAAAATGAATCTTGCAATATGATGTTAACTTTTTTTCCTGATGATTTTTCAGATAGAGGATGCACTACACAAGATCCTTGCAGAGTTTAAGCTGCTGTATGCTAACCATGCCCCGCAACTGAAGCCACGTCCCCCTGGTCAGCCTGATCCCAATGTAGCAGTACCAGACACGGGCCAGTCCATTGACCCTGTCCAGGATATGTACTCGGTAGTGGAGGGGTCAGCTGTCATCCCCTTCATGGAGGTAAAGTAAACCTTTTTAGTAGCAAACTGCAAGACTGAAGGAGCAGGAAAAGGAATGTACCATTATACCCGGTATTTTTTATTTGCACTGTTTTGACCCATTATCTCAGCCACCCCAAGATTAGTTGTCCAACTATCCAGGCCTTTTTTAGGGAAGCAGATCTGTTTTTAGCTTGTCATTAAATAGTTCTAGCTACCACTGGTTCTAAGTTACACATATTTCATTTGGTGACTGGTTGGAACAACAAGATTTGAATTTTGACAGTTCCAGTTGAATTTTGACAGTTCCAGTTGAATTTTGAAGGTTCCTCTTGCTCTGTAGTTGTGCATGTTTAATTTTGAGACTGATTGGAAGAAGAAGTTGGGTGACAAACAGCCATCTTGAATTTTGACACTTGAAGTTTTAAACGTTAACGGTATTTCTCCAGAATTACTTAAGATATCTTTCCAGTGATTGGCCAGTAGGTAAACTTCAATGGAGTGCTATAAAGTCACATGACATAAATAACCTTGACCTATTTCAAATTCACAGGGATCTAATGTGTTAAAAACTTCAACCAACGTTGTTTGAACAAGTCTAGAGCCATGATACTTGGATATGCTATATAAACCAGTTGTGTAAATCTTTCTCTTATTCCTTTGAACAGTTATGTTTTCCATCATATTACCACATACTCTTGCTTGACATAAAAAAAAGAACACAAGCTTGCTATCAGGATTTGAGATCTCAATCCTGTCACCAAACATCATATGTACACATACAAATATATTTGCTATGAAATATTCTTAAGATTTGCGAGACAGAGCCCAAAATGGAGAAAGTACTTTGTAATAACGATTGCTTAAATGTCAAGGTGAGCGATACAGGTCCGCCAGGCCTCTTGTTGCTGTTGTATAATGATGGCTTTATTTTGTTGTAGCAATATTTGAGAGCAGATTCTTTCCTAGAGATATGTAGACATTCAGAAGTAAGTATCATTTACATCAGAACAAATCTGTGTGTATATCTCTTCTTTAAAAGTTGGAATATTTTTTTTAATAAGCTATTCTTAAATATTGACAAATAAGATAATTTTAAATGAATAATATAAGTTTTGCTTCTGATATAAGTTAAATATGAAATTACACAGTCACACATTATATATATCCCTGACAAAGTTCTGTCATAGATCTGTGCTAATACTATGCCTTATGATGAAAATTGTAGTTCTTGACTTCCATTAAGTGGAATATGAAGAGAATTCCGTCCTTATTCAGAAGGCAGTGTTAGATTGAAATTTAATGGTTTTGTTGTACTCTCTTCTGACTAAGAATACAGTACTTTATTGGGTCTGTTGGTCCAGTGGTTAACCCACAAAGACATCAAATTTGATTCTCAGTATGAGCAGAAGATTTTCTGAGAATTTATCTCTTGACCAACATGAATTTTTGGGACTTGTCCCACTTACTTAGGATTGAAGTAAGAGTAGACAACAGTTGCCATGAGAAAATATAAATGGGTGTGTCTATGACCCTACAAAAGTAATTTATGGGTGTGTCCTTGACCCAACATAAGTAGGTTATGGCCATGGGTGAGTCTTTGACTCTACATAAGTAGTTAATGGGTGAGACCTTGACCCTACATAAGTAGGTTATGGGTGTGACCTTGACCCTACATAAGTAGTTTATGGTTGTGTCTTTGACCCTACATAAGTAGTTTATAGGTGTGTCCTTGACCCAACATAAGTAGTTAATGGGTGTGTCCTTGACCCTACATAAGTAGGTTATGGGTGTGTCCTTGACATTACATAAATAGTTAGTAGGTGTGTCCTTGACCCTACATAAGTAGTTAATGGGTGTGTCCTTGACCCTACATAAGTAGTTAATGGGTGTGTCTTTGAACCTACATAAGTAGTTTATAGGTGTGTCCTTGACCCAACATAAGTAGGTTATGGCCATGGGTGAGTCTTTGACTCTACATAAGTAGTTTATGGTTGTGTCTTTGAGCCTACAAAAGTAGTTTATAGGTGTGTCCTTGACCCTACATAAGTAGTTTATGGGTGTGTCCTTGATATTACATAAGTAGTTAATGGGTGTGTCCTTGACCCTACCTAAGTAGTTTATGGGTGTGCACTTGACCCTACATAAGTAGTTGATGGGTGTTTCCTTGACCCTACCTAAGTAGTTTATGGGTGTGACCTTGACTCTACATAAGTAGTTGATGTGTGTGTCCTTGACCCTACATAAGTAGTTTATGGGTGTGACCTTGACCCTACATAACCTGTAGGTTATGGGTGTGTCCTTGACCCAAATTAAAAATTTAAAATCTGGTTAGAAAATATATTGGACAATAAACTACAGCAACTGAATGAGCATCCACCAAATAAATGAAATGTGATAGATGACATTCTGTGTTTCTTTGCAGGTGTATAAATTCATCGTAGATATTATTAAAGAAATTGGTAAGTTTTTAAAGGAGTTATAGAACATTTGTGCTTCATGTTAATTCTACTAATATTGCCTGAAAGCAGGAAATAATAAACACTAAAGCTACTTATACACTACATATTATAGCACACAAAAGTACAGATACATCAGCCCTATTAGTGTACAAACTCTTTCCTAAAGGAAAACTACTTCAGTGAACACATTTGCCTTATATATAAATACCTGTGATTTGTATTAAACAAATATACAATGTATATTACATTATACATGTAACATATTATACATTTTTTGTGTCAGGGTGTAAACATGGAATTAATTAACTTAATATTTAAAAATAGTTTTATGAAGTTTTAACATAAAAAGATTTTTAAAAACAATTCAGCGAACAAAATTATGTGGAAGGAAGGTTCATGTCACTGTAATATGGCATATGTCCTTCAATTGTGCAACTCTGATAAATGCCAAAATACAACTTTTTGAGTGATTCAAATTTGAGATAGAAGCTCCATGCTAGAAGAATAAACACCAAAGTAAATAAGAAGTTTATGGTATGTTTAGAAGCTCCATGCTAGAAGAATAAACACCAAAGTAATAAGAAGTTTATGGTATGTTTTAGCTCTGCTGCATGGTATGACTGTCAAAGTTCCAAGCATTATAATCACATCTCCAGACCTTTGCATAAAGAGAAATTGGATAAATATTTTACTGTACTCAGTATTGTTATGTCATTGTGGGGTTGTCTGCTCTTTACAGCTCGTCAACGCCAGTTACTTCCTCTCTTGTGTTCTCTGTCTAACCAGACGATGTCTATATACCAGCTACTGGAACAACTGGAGAAAAAGGTAGGCGACCTACTGGACACCTAATATATCTGTTTAGATTAGTGATGACAGTATGTTCTCTGTCAAACCAGACGATGTCTATATACCAGCTACTGGAACAACTGGAGAAAAAGGTAGGCGACCTACTGGACACCTAATATATCTGTTTAGATTAGTGATGACAGTATGCAAATATCTGTTTGTATCTGCATGCATCATAGATATTGAAGCAAATGTGTAACCTTAGTGTGTTCTGTAAATACCTCTCTGTGTGTGCAGGCATCCCTTATCCTGAAACACATGTGTAAGGCGGGAAATGGAAGTGTCCCTCGCCCCCAGACAAGCACTGCCCCTGAAGGAGACACCAATGCCATGCCCTTCAATATATTGCCGAATTGCTTCAGTCGGTGTCGTGGTTCAAGCTCCTCCTGCTCGGCACTCGGCACTGATGCAGAGCTTGCAGAGGAAAAACTTGCAAGGTAGATAATATACCATTCCTCACTTAGTTGTTAGTGGGATTTTATTGTTCTTCAACAGTTGTCTTATCCAAATAATTTCCTGTTGGTGATTGATGTTTGAATGTTACAAAACAATATGTATAATAATGTATAATAATTATATTCATGACTGATTGTGTTACTAATTAAGTCAGAGAATATGTCTTACAAATAATCATGTCATATCAGAGTATTATCTTCCAGAATTTCCATCGGCTATGACTTATTTATGTGATACTTATTTGTGAATTCAGCTTAACCATCAATAATGAATTCAAGCAGCATTCGAACAAATATGTTTGCGTAAAGTAAGAATACAAATTGAGTTAATCACAATTAGGTTTCCTCATGAATATTTAAATTTCACAAAAGTAACTGTGCACCAAATTCAAAGTAATTAACAGTAAGTAAATACATGAAATTTGTTGTTTATATGTTCAAGCTTCACTCAGTTTTATGATTTGACTCTTTTGCAGAGAATTTGTGATACTTTTCAACAATGTTAAAGGTAAGGGTTATATAGACTTATAACTGTGGTGTAGATTGTAAGAAAACTTCCACTGGGCTATGTAATCTTTCTGCTGTTGTGGTCAGCACTGGTGTATGTTGTGACACTCATCAATAAATGACCTGTATGTGTTGTAACAATACCAACCCAAACAAACTCGGGGTACATTCAGGATAAACGTAGATGGACTTTGAAAGATAGTCTTATTTTCATGGATGAATTAAATGCTTTTGAATATTTCTAATTTCATTCATGGTCAGTGATAGATGTTGTTTGGTTGATGGTGTTTTTCTAACAACAGTATATCAAACTTTGAGCAATACATAACAAAAAACATTCTATGACATGGCATGACCTTATTGTGACCTCTCATGACCCTGTTGTCACTTCTTAGTAACCCACCACGACCTTGTATGATTCAATTATGACCTGACTTAGGACCACCTATGACCCCAATATGACCCTTGGCCTGATTGTTGTAGATATGATGGCTGTTCAGGGCCTGTCCCCTAGTGGTGAACAGTGTAGTCCCACGGCATCAGCACGGGAGATGTCTATATCTAATGATGGAGGCACGTCCGTCATGGATGTCAGTGTCCAGGTAGACAAGGTAAAGAAATCAATTATTTTACCTCCATGGAAGTAAATGCTAAGACCATGATTTTGCTATCAAACGTTACAATCAGTGTCAACTTTTAAATAAAAATTATCTTCATATCAGATTTATGTATCAAAACTTATTTACATATATACAAACTCAGATAAAATGAGAATGATATAACACACTGGGAAATCAAAAGCTTTACTTTTCATGTCATGTTTCATAAAATATAAAATAGAAGTATGGTTACATTCGATTTTCATAAAATTCAAAAGAATAGATGGAATGAATTTGACATTTTTTCTATCAAGAGTTCAACCAAAATAATGTATTTTGCTATGGATGATAGTACAGCATGTAACCTTTTCAAAATAATGGTACAATGTACTATCTCAATGTATAGGTCCTAAATATATGATAAAACCGTTACCTATTAAATGTTTTGTTTTCAGCTTGATGCGACGGAAGTCCAGTACAAGCAAGTGTTAAGAAATATGCAGTTTTATAGTACAGAATTTTCATGTAAGTACAATGTACCAGTTTTATAGTACAGAATTTTCATGTAAGTACCAGTTTTATAGTACAGAATTTTCATGTAAGTACCAGTTTTTAGTACAGAATTTTCATGTAAGTACCAGTTTTATATTTCAGAATTTTCATGTAAGTACCAGTTTTAGTTTTTTAGAGCATCAATAAAGCAAGCTCAGAATTTCTCTACTGACTATGAATTTAAAGGACTTGCTTATTAAATGAAAGATTTTTTAATTTTTGGGCTTATGCAAGTAATATATTGCATTAATTGTTCTTTTGTGTGTTTAAGTGGAAGGAAACTGGGCCCATCATTATGCAAGTCAGTTTAAAACAGCTCAGAGTTCCCGACAAAACCAGGTACGTGTTTCAGAGTGTCATCTCAGATTTAAAGTGGAAGTGTGAGGAAATTGGTTTTCACTGTATTTAAGTTTATATAAGTTGGAAATACAATTTAATTTTCTTTGCAGATTTTCCGAATTGCCCAAGAACTTTCCTCTTTATCTTCGTCATTGCCTTTAGATTGGTCATCAGCCATCTTCGTGCGAAGTGTAAGTAGATAAATATACTTATTACAACAGTTATTGTCTACAATAGGAATTTGTTTGTCTTAAAATACTATTTGTTTGTGCACAGCATATATTGAGAGTATTTAAATGTATATAAAACATTTATTTCTGTATAACTGACATGTCAGCATTATTCTACAGAATCATAACATCTTAGAGAATAAGCTGAACTGGGTTTTAAAACTCAACATTTTACTGATATTTCAATGATTAAAATTCAAGAAGTGGTTGATGTCAGGAAAAATATTGTCTTCTATAATTTATCAGGGGTCTTTAAAAGCCTAATTACTGATAGGAAATATGCACCCCTTCTTCCAATTAATAGAATTTTTCCCCAACACGGGACAAGCTTTTTTTTTTTTTTTTTTTAAGTTTTAAGTAACCAGAGAAACATTTTTTTTTGTGAAGAGAAAAAATTCTGTATTGTCAGATTGAAATATTGGATTGAGGAGTTGTATAAAGATAATGTAGATTATTTTTTTAACAATTTTGAATTTTCCAAATACATATAGTACCATATTCACTGTAATTAGCACCCTCCCACCTATAAGTACCACTCCCCCTTTTTCGAGAGGAATTAAAATTACTGGTATATGGACCCCTACCCATCTGGTGATCATCGCTTGACTTCATGTGAAGTGGACGAAACACTTGATTTCCAAATGGTAAAAGTTGCACAACTTTTTCTAACATAAGTCACATTTTGTTATTCCACAATTAGCCCTTTGTCAACAATACTGACATCTGTGAGGGTCCTGAATTAGCTTTATATTCGTTTTCTCTCCTGCTACCATCACCCACCCTACCATACCGATAACCTCAGGGATTGTTATTCAGCAGATTGTGTAGATTGTATGTATATAAAGATGTAACATACTTTTCAGGATGATGACAAACTGACGTTAATGAAGGCACTCATTACAGGGTAGGTTGGGTTTATTTAAAAGTAATAGCAAAGTATTTGTTGGTTTTGGAAGAGATCTGTTGCATTCCAAATATATGAATATCTGTTCATGCTTTTATAAATGTCTTTGTTCTGAAACTGACTACCAAGTCTTATATCTTCATTGGTCTGTATTATGAATCTTTGGTTAAGTTTACATGAATATCATCATGGTACAATAACTGTACTTAAATTGTTCTCACGGGAGATAATTCACATCTATAATACTTAACCACATTAATATCATCATGGTACAAGAATTGTACTTAAATTGTTCTCAGGGGAGCTAATTCACATCTATAATACATAACCTAGCACTATCAAACATTCCTAGAGGAGTTAATGTGTACATGTGTAACCTAGTGCCTTCAATAATAGTTTGTACTTTTTCAGTTTAATTCTTATCAGCACATCATTAATATCATCATGGTACAATAATTTTCCTTAAATTGTTCTCAGGGGAGATAATGCGCATCTATAATACATAACCTAGCAATATCAAACATTCCTAGAGGAGTTAATCTGTACATGTGTAACCTAGTGCCTTCAATAATAGTTTGTACTTTTTCAGTTTAATTCTTATCAGCACATCATTAATATCATCATGGTACAATAATTTTCCTTAAATTGTTCTCAGGGGAGATAATGCGCATCTATAATACATAACCTAGCAATATCAAACATTCCTAGAGGAGTTAATGTGTACATGTGTAACCTAGTGCCTTCAATAATAGTTTGTACTTTTTCAGTTTAATTCTTATCAGCACATCATTAATATCATCATGGTACAATAATTGTACTAAAATTGTTCTCAGGGGAGATAATTCACATCTATAATTCATAACCACATGAATATCATCATGATACAATAATTGTACTTAAATTGTTCTCAGGGGAGCTAATTCACATCTATAATACATAACCACACGAATATCATCATGGTAGAATAATTGTTCTTTAATTGTTCCCGGGGAGATAATTCACATCTATAATACATAACCACACGAATATCATCATGGTAGAATAATTGTTCTTTAATTGTTCCCGGGGAGATAATTCACATCTATAATACATACCCACATGAATATCATCATGGTAGAATAATTGTACTTTAATTGTTCCCGGGGAGATAATTCACATCTATAATACTTAATCACATTAATATCATCATGGTACAATAATTTTCCTTAAATTGTTCTCAGGGGAGATAATGCGCATCTATAATACATAACCTAGCAATATCAAACATTCCTAGAGGAGTTAATGTGTACATGTGTAACCTAGTGCCTTCAATAATAGTTTGTACTTTTTCAGTTTAATTCTTATCAGCACATCATTAATATCATCATGGTACAATAATTTTCCTTAAATTGTTCTCAGGGGAGATAATGCGCATCTATAATACATAACCTAGCAATATCAAACATTCCTAGAGGAGTTAATGTGTACATGTGTAACCTAGTGCCTTCAATAATAGTTTGTACTTTTTCAGTTTAATTCTTATCAGCACATCATTAATATCATCATGGTACAATAATTGTTCTTAAATTGTTCTCAGGGGAGATAATGCGCATCTATAATACATAACCTAGCAATATCAAACATTCCTAGAGGAGTTAATGTGTACATGTGTAACCTAGTGCCTTCAATAATAGTTTGTACTTTTTCAGTTTAATTCTTATCAGCACATCATTAATATCATCATGGTACAATAATTTTCCTTAAATTGTTCTCAGGGGAGATAATTCACATCTATAATTCATAACCACATGAATATCATCATGATACAATAAGTGTACTTAAATTGTGCTCAGGGGAGATAATCCACATCTATAATACATAACCACATGTATATCATCATGGTACAATAATTGTACTAAAATTGTTCTCAGGGGAGATAATTCACATCTATAATTCATAACCACATGAATATCATCATGATACAATAATTGTACTTAAATTGTTCCCAGGGGAGATAATTCACATCTATAATACTTAATCACATTAATATCATCATGGTACAATAATTGTACTAAAATTGTTCTCAGGGGAGATAATTCACATCTATAATTCATAACCACATGAATATCATCATGATACAATAAGTGTACTTAAATTGTGCTCAGGGGAGATAATTCACATCTATAATACATACCCACATTAATATCATCATGATACAATAATTGTACTTAAATTGTGCTCAGGGGAGATAATTCACATCTATAATACTTAACCACATTAATATCATCATGGTACAAGAATTGTACTTAAATTGTTCTCAGGGGAGATAATTCACATCTATAATACATAACCTAGCAATATCAAACATTCCTAGAGGAGTTAATGTGTACATGTGTAACCTAGTGCCTTCAATAATAGTTTGTACTTTTTCAGTTTAATTCTTATCAGCACATTTCTGTATGTAACGTTTGACCTTTGATCTGTTTACACCATTTATTCACCGTTTGTTTTCCAGCCCTGAGGGAACGCCCTACTCAGGAGGTTGTTATGTGTTTGATATATACTTTCCCCCTGCCTATCCTAAGTCCCCGCCGCTGGTGAATCTACAGACCACTGGCTCAGGAAAGGTCCGCTTCAACCCCAATCTTTATGCGTAAGTGTGTGTGGCTTGTATATATTAGATAACCAATTCTGATTCAATAGATCACTGACAGTGAGTCCATTACAATTCTCATAGATGATGAATGGATTCAGTAGGTAAAGCATAATTGTAGATACTCTAAAATGTTCTAGAGAAATATATATTGTGTACTAAATTCTCATGATGATGTACTTTATCAACACAATGTTTTGTTTTAGTCTTCCATACCAAAATGTGTATCGAAGGAAAGTCTTTCTATGCTAATTTTAATTTCAATACCATTAACTTGAGCATGACTTGACATGTGTAATCTTAATTTTATTTGTTAGATGTGGAAAGGTGTGTTTATCTCTACTTGGAACCTGGGAAGGACAGAAAGGGGAACAATGGAACGAAAAAACCTCTACTGTACTCCAGGTAAGAAAGAAGCCTGGTCATTCACTGTAATACAGGAAAGGACACATAGTCACAAATCTTTACAGCATAATTTATTTTTGGTGAGCTTATGCCATACTGTGGCGTCCGTATGACACCATTTTCTTTAAACGACTTCTTCTTCTTAACAACTGATTGGAATTTAACTAAATTTAACTGGAACCATCCCTAGGTCGTGGAGATTTAAAATTGTACAAATGGTAGGGCTGACCCCCCCCCCCAGGGGGCTGAGGGGCGGGTCCAAAAGGGGGCAATTTGGCTATATTGCTTTAAGCGACTTCTTCTCTGGACTCAGGGCTAAGGGGTGGCCTAAACTTGGAAATGGTTGAGATCCCCACCGTATAACCATATATACAATTGCTGAGTATTAAGAGATGAATGCACATATGCTTCCCGGATGGCCATGGGGTCTGCCCCACCCTTGGAGACTCCACCCCTGGGTCCTAACTTTGAAATGGTTAAGATCCCCACCCCCAAATTATATATACAATTGTTGGGCATGAAAATTCGAATGCAGTCAAGATACATGTATTATAATTGACCCCAGGGTCTGTCCCACCCGTGCAGACTTAACCCCTGGGTCATAACTTTGAAACAGTTGAGATCCCCACCGTATAACCATATATACAATTGCTGAGTATTAAGAGATGAATGCACATATGCTTCCAGGATGGCCATGGGGTCTGCCCCACCCTTGGAGACTCCACCCCTGGGTCCTAACTTTGAAATGGTTAAGATCCCCACCCCCAAATTATATATACAATTGTTGGGCATGAAAATACGAATGCAGTCAAGATACATGTATTATAATTGACCCCAGGGTCTGTCCCACCCTTGCAGACTTAACCCCTGGGTCATAACTTTGAAACAGTTGAGATCCCCACAAGATCCCCACCCCAAAACTATTAATAACAAATGCTGGGCAAAAAGAGACAAATGCAGTCATGATATTAGAAATTATCCTGGGGTCTGGCCACAACCCTAGAGACCTAGTTTCTGAGTCACAGCTTGGAAACAGTTGAGATCCCCACCCCATAACCATACATAAAATTGCTGGGCATGAAAAATCTAATACAGATATGCTACAAGGATTGGCTTTGGGGTCTGGCATATTCCCTTGGATCTCATTTGGAGAATATTTTGCCAGGATTGCACCCTCTGGGCCTCTTGTATCAGTCTTGCCGTCGGTAAATGACTCCACCTCAGTAACAAAGGGTTGTTTCAAAAGCTTGGCCTCAAGGTCTTGCATGGATCTTTAAATTTGAGGTATAGTATTTGTTTCTGCTCTATTGTGTAGCCTTATTTTCTGTATGTGTACTTTGTTCCCTAATCTATGTTAGATAAAGGTACTGACAAACTCAAAAGATTAGAGCATGTTTTCTCAAGAAAGGAGTGTCTTGGCTACAAAATTGGCAATTTTTTATCTGGAAAATATTGAGGCAAGAAAGTGCTGTATCAAATCATCAACATAAAAGCATTCAAAATAATTAGTCACATTAATGTTTTTTTAATGTCTTAACATTTAAATTAATTTTAAATGGCAGGTGCTTGTGTCCATCCAGTCTCTCATCCTAGTACAAGATCCTTACTTCAATGAGCCTGGCTTTGAGCTGGAGATCGGGACGGAGGGAGGTAAAAAGCACAGTGACGAATATAATGCAGGTAAACATATCTTCTCAAAAGCTATCCCCATGTACATGAACAGTCAAGCCAAATTTGTCATCATATATGTTTGAGCCCCATATCAAAATATGGTCAAGCCTCATTGTCTTCATATAAAGTTGAACTCCTTTGACCTTGACTCTATGACCATTGTAAACATTTTGGTAACCTTGACCTTTGACCTTGTTTTAGATTAAAAGTATGTGAGCAGGGCATCTGTGTCTTACAGACACATTTCTTGTACTACATACACAGTCAAGATTATTGGTCCACATATACAGTCAAGCTTATTTGTTCACATATACAGTCAAACTTATTTGTCCACATACACAATCAAGCTTATTTGTCCACAAACACAATCAAGCTTATTTGTCCACATATACAGTCAAGCTTATTTGTCCACATACACAGTCAAGCTTATTTGTCCACATACACATTGAAGCTTATTTGTCCACATATACGGTCAAACTTATTTGTCCACATACACAGTCAAGCTTATTTGTCCACATTCACAGTGAAGCTTATTTGTCCACATATACAGTCAAGCTTATTTGTCCACATACACAGTCAAGCTTATTTGTCCAAATATAGTCAAACTTATTTGTCCACATACACAGTCAAGCTTATTGGTCCACATATACAGTCAAGCTTATTTGTCCACATACACAGTCAAGCTTATTTGTCCACATACACAGTCAAGCTTATTTGTCCAAATATAGTCAAACTTATTTGTCCACATATACAGTCAAGCTTATTGGTCCACATATACAGTCAAGCTTATTGGTCCACATACACAGTCAAGCTTATTTGTCCACATACACAGTCAAGCTTATTTGTCCAAATATAGTCAAACTTATTTGTCCACATACACAGTCAAGCTTATTGGTCCACATATACAGTCAAGCTTATTGGTCCACATACACAGTCAAGCTTATTTGTCCACATACACAGTCAAGCTTATTTGTCCAAATATAGTCAAACTTATTTGTCCACATATACAGTCAAGCTTATTGGTCCACATATACAGTCAAGCTTATTGGTCCACATACACAGTCAAGCTTATTTGTCCACATACACAGTCAAGCTTATTTGTCCAAATATAGTCAAACTTATTTGTCCACATATACAGTCAAGCTTATTGGTCCACATATACAGTCAAGCTTATTGGTCCACATACACAGTCAAGCTTATTGGTCCACATATACAGTCAAGCTTATTTGTCCAAATACACAGTCAAGCTTATTTGTCCACATACACAGTCAAGCTTATTTGTCCAAATATAGTCAAACTTATTTGTCCACATATACAGTCAAGCTTATTGGTCCACATATACAGTCAAGCTTATTGGTCCACATATACAGTCAAGCTTATTGGTCCACATATACAGTCAAGTCCAATCCTATTGTCCTGCTTATCAAATTTTTGTGAAGGAATGCAACTATTCCGTCTTTGCGTATTGCAGAGTTATCTTCTCTTGGGAGCAGGGATTGATTGTTACGTCACTTGTTTGTGAGAGTAACGTCATCAATTTTTGTGAGAACGACGTAATTTTCTCGCACAAACCAATGACGTAACAATCAATACCTGCTCCCATGAGAAGATGACTCTGCAATACGCAAAGACGGAATAGGGGAATACTGTATTCTTGAGATACCTTTGTCTAGAATCAAATGTAAAATGCAAAGTAATTGCAATTAACAGTTTTTCTTTCAGAGGTTTTATTACCATGCTTTTTCAACATTTTAACACTTCTACTAAAATTATTGTTCTATAGTAAATACATTAGGTTGCTGCAATTTTATTGATAAAACAACAGCAGACATATTGCAATTTTAACTCACCTGGCCTAAAAATCCTTTCATTACATGACCAGGATGGGGGAGTCAGTTTTGACTTATTTTGGTATAGAGCATAGTTGGGCAAAGGGACTCTACGTTGTATAAATGGAGGGTGTGACCACCACTGGGAGATGAAGGGCAGGGCCCAATATGGAAAATAAAGGTTAATCTTTAAAATCCTATTTCTCTAGAATGGGTAAGGCATTTTAAATACAGCATCCTTGGACCAAAGTAATTCACCATTGAATAATTGGAGGGTTTGGTGCCCCTTAGGGAAGAAAGGTAGGACCCAATATGGAAAACAGATCTTAATCTAAAGTCCTTTTCCTTCAGTACAGACAGAAGAAATTTATCTTAAGTTGGTCTGGAGCATCCTGCAGCAAAGGGGACTCGGTGTTGTTTAAATGAAGAGGATGTTCCCTGAAGAAAGGGACCCAATTAGGAAATTAGGATCGCTTTCATATTTAGTAGGAATAATATTGGTAATTGATTTTGACTAATTTGGTATCGGTACATCCTTGAAAGAGTTGCATAAATAAAGAGTGTAACTGCTTCATAAGGGCTGGACCCAATGGGGGAAATACAGATAAAATAGAAATGTGTACTCCTTCCCTGTGCCTTATTTGTTATTTATCAATATTAGCAATAGTGGGTTTGTTTAACCTGGTTTTTCTTACAGATTGTTGTTATAACAACATAAAATATGCCATGATTGGCCAGCTTCAGAACCCACCACCAGAGTTTGCAGACATAATCAAAACACATTTTTACCACAAAAAGAAGAAGATTTTAGAGGTATGTATGAACTGCATATAGAATCGGCCACTGTAGGGTGTGTTCGAGTAATAGTGACTACAGTAGCTGCCGTTGACAGACCTGTGTTAATATGCAGAATATATATATTAGTAAGTAAAATATCAGAATAAGTTTACCTTCATAAAAAGTCGGTTCTGTTTTGAGATTAAGTGCCGTTTTTTTAGAGGTGAGTTTTGCCATAACTCGAGTTAACAAGTAACCTGTATTGAATGGTCACTTTGACTCGTTCTTCACACAAAGCATGTGTAGGAATAATTGTTTGGCTTATATTTTACAGTTAGATAGTTGTCCATATTTTTGGAAAACATCCTAAAATCCAGAAGTATTTTGAATGAAGAAAATGATGCACATTGCATCATCAGCAATCACAATAACAGTATAAATTTAAATGATGTTTTACCTTCAGGAGGTGGAGGGCTGGGCAAACAAATACTCCAATCGGCGACTCGGAGGTCTCTTGCCTAGTCTGAAACAGGAACTCAAGAAACTACATCCACCACCTAGCATGAATGGGCCCTCCTGAAAGCTTGTTGCTCTAACCTACAGGATCAATGGACCAACCATAGCATGTGCACACTGCGTTATTCATCTCCACTTTGGCTAAATCTGTGATTATTTTTGTAACTATACTAATTACAGACTATTGTATGAATACCTAGCAGAATATGTGTAACCAGGGGTCAAGTTCTGTTGTCAAGACAATATCCCCTCATACTACATAAACCAGTGGTGAAGTTAAATTGAGAAGACAACCCTCTTCATGCTTCATGTTTCCAGGGGTCAAGTTCTGTAGTCAAGAAGACCTCACTAATACCACATGTAGCCAGGGGTTAAGTGCTGTAGTCAAGGTGATGTCCCTCATACTACATGTAACCAACAGTCAGGTTCAAACTACATCAATAAATGGTCCTTTTCCATAACCAGTGTGACCCCTTTCATATTACATGTAACCAACAGTCAAGTTCTGTTATCAAAATGACCCCTGCCATCAGTACATGTAACCAACAGTCAAGTTCTGTTATCAAAATGACCCCTGTATTGAATGGTCACTTTGACTCGTTCTTCACACAAAGCTTGTGTAAGACTGTTGTACATGTAACCAACAGTCAGGTTCTGTTATCAAAATGACCCCTGCCATCAGTACAGGTAACCAACAGTCAAGTTCTGTTATCAAAATGACCCCTGCCATCAGTACAGGTAACCAACAGTCAAGTTCTGTTATCAAAATGACCCCTGCCATCAGTACAGGTAACCAACAGTCAAGTTCTGTTATCAAAATGACCCCTGCCATCAGTACAGGTAACCAACAGTCAAGTTCTGTTATCAAAATGACCCCTGCCATCAGTACAGGTAACCAACAGTCAAGTTCTGTTATCAAAATGACCCCTGCCATCAGTACAGGTAACCAACAGTCAAGTTCTGTTATCAAAATGACCCCTGCCATCAGTACAGGTAACCAACAGTCAAGTTCTGTTATCAAAGTGACCCCTGCCATCAGTACATGTAACCAACAGTCACAGTAACCCCTCTTCATGCTTCATTATTTAAGTGTTAAGTTCTTTTTTCAAGGCAACCTCTTCGTATATTACCAGGGGTTGAACTTTATTGTAAAAGCAACCTCCTTCATACTACATGTAACCATCGGACAAGTTATTGTCATGGTGACCACCACCCCCCTACTACATGTAATCAGTGGTCAAGTTCTGTTGCTAAGTCATCCCCTTCATATGATATATAACCTGGTGTCGGGGGATGTTGTTCAGGCGACCCTTTTCATTTTACAGGGTACATGCATCTAACAGAGGCGAACCCCCTCCCTGGTATTATAAATAAATGTAACCCAGGGTCAGAGGGAGACTATTTATTACATATACACCTGGGTCAAGCTCCTTGCACATCATTTTACCATAACTACTTTATACAGATAACATGATACCAAATTCCTGATTACATGGATTCTCTTAAAACAACAGATCGTTTAAGGGAGAAGTTGTGTTGCCATGGATACCTGTTATCTGCAGTAAACAAGGTGTTTTTTCATGGGTATGTCCCAGACTACAATATAGGGCTGTATATAAGCATAAATGTTGGCTATTTATATCATGAAAGACTGATGTCCTCACAGGTTTTACAACGCACCATTTATTGGGTATTTAACAAGTGTGTGTAGCATGTTCACTCTACTTTTGGTTATATCCCATTGTGGATGTGAGGGAAAGAAAATGCCCAACAAAACCATTGGTGATATAAGAGGCCCAAACAATTGTCAACATCTTTTCTCTTTTACCATGTATCTGTCTTTTTTAAACGGGCCTCCCTTGGCCACGAACTACATTACCATTTTATCATGTGATGGCCCTTAATCACCTTGTTGTAGGGATAGGCTGCTGTAAGGCAGACCATTTGTGCATTTAAAACTTTGTTTTCAAACGTTAATTGGATAATTGATATAAGTATTGGAAAAAAAACATCCTATCAATTACAAATTTAAGGACATTGTATTCAAGATAAATTCTTTGGGCATATTTTGTGAAGTGAAGTAGATTTAAAAATGATTAGTTTCAAACATTTCTACTGTGTTTACTATTATCATCTTGGGGCAAATGATAAAGACCAGCAGTACCTGGTGTTTCCACAGTCTGTGATAGAAGCTGTAACTAAGGCTGTCACCACAATGACTAACTGTTTATATGTACATACCGGTAGACAGTAGTGCTGTTGTATTGTACAGGATTAAATAAGAATGTTTTATAAGATATTAGTAGTGACTGTAAAGTAAATTGAAATTATAGTCACATTTCTTCTAACATGTATATCATTTTGAAACATTTTGGGTCGGTTAACAAATAAACAAAAATTTATTTGCGTGCAGAAAAATTTCAAACTAACATCCTTTTATTATGAACTAAACCTAGGTAAGTTCAGTTTATAATTAACTAAAATCTCAAATTATACCTGGGTATATTCTGTGTATTATGAAGTCTAATATTAAGAATGGTCACTTTTAAATTTAATTTTAAGTCTGTTTTAGGTAGTCTTATTTAGATTTTGTGAATATGATGTTTACATTCACATTAACCTTACAAGGTTTTGTGGTATGTGCACCAAGTAGAATAGGAACTGAGCTTGTCCATAATTCACAGGTCAGAGTATTGAAACAGCAGTGATAGGAAAAGTAGAACAAGAACTGAGTTTAGAAGTAATTCACAGGTCAGAGTATTGAAACAGCAGTGATAGGAAAAGTAGAACAAGAACTGAGCTTGTCCGTAATTCACAGGTCAGAGTATTGTAACAGCACTGATAGGAAAAGTAGAACAAGAACTGAGCTTGTCTGTAATTCACAGGTCAGAGTATTTAAACAGTGGTGACAGGAAATGTGGTAATTTTTTCACTTGGCCTATAAAGATTGTTTCCAAAAACCTGTTAAATTGAACATACATTTATAGTTATTCCTAGTGTATAGTATTGTTTCACTCACAAAGAAGACATAGAGTGAGGGTTGACCTAGATAAAGGTCAACTGGTGTTTTGTTACATACACTACCAATGTCAGTACCCTGTAGTTTTGTGGTATCATATACAAGTGTCTTTATATTACCAATTAATCTGTTGTTGCTAGTAATAAAACCCTTTGGATAACTATAGCAATACATTGTTACACACAACCATATGTCTGTTACGATTGACAGGAAGGATCAATGGAATGAGAAAACACTTACAGTGGGCTTTGTTTATCATGAGTATTGCTGTTTCTGTGAAAAGGATGACAATATCACGTCAGTGCACAGCAAATATTTTTATCTACTGTAATCATGGTTTTAGATATCAGAATTTAGTGTTTTTAAATCTTTTTTACTGCATTAATTATATGTTACAGGAGAAATGTTTTTTGTCATAAAATACATGATACATGTAATGATGTCCTTAACTTGTTATTTATAATGTGATGATTGTAACAGTATTGGTGTTATTTTACTGTTGTTTATTATTACTGTGTATCACATGCGGTTCTTTTTTATTTGTTGTTGTTATCACGAGACTTTTGGTTGGGTAGGCGTATCAAGATCTGATAGTTGTACACTACCTGAATGTGTTAACATTTTTACATTTCATCAGCTCGAAAAGTTGGATGTATGGAAATACTTCACACAGGCTGTTATACATATTTCAATTTGTCAATTATATGTTCATGTCTTTTATTTGTTGCTGTGATTTAGTAAATGAGAAATAAGCAAGAAGTTTTGTTACAGCAATTTATGACACATTGTGCACAGAATTAATGTATTAGTGACACTTTGGTAGTTCACAATTATTATGTACATAATAACGGTAATACAAACTGATAAAGGGATATAATATAGCATCTAACCTTAAAGGTCGGTCCTCAGGTTACTAGAACCAGATTGTTATACTATTCAGAAAGTCAGTCACAAGCTGGTGATTTTCAGACGGTTGGTCACGACCTGATGATCTACAGACAGTTGGTCACGACCTGGTGATCTACAGACAGTTGGTCACGACCTGGTGATCTAGACAGTTGGTTTCAACCTGGTTTCATACAGGCAGTTGGTAAGGACCTGGTGATCTACAGACAGTTGGTGAGGGACATTGTGATATACAGACGGTTGGTTAGGACCTGGTGTCATGCAGGAGGTTGGTCATGACCTGGTGATCTACAGACAGTTGGTGAGGAATATTGTGATATACAGACGGTTGGTTAGGGACCTTGTGATATACAGACAGTTGGTTACAACCTGGTTTCATACAGGCAGTTTGTTTGGGACCTTGTGATATACAGACAGTCGGACCCGACCTGGTGTCATACAGACTGTTGGTCACGAATTTGTGATATACAGACAGTTGGTTACGACCTGGTTTTGTACGGACAGTTGGTGACAACCTTGTGATATACAGAATGTTGAACACGACCTGGTGTCGTACAGACGATTGGTCACACTCTGGTAATCAACAGACAGTTGGTCACGACATTGTGATATACAGAATGTTGGACACAACCTGGTGTCATACAGACTGTTGGTTAGGGACCTTGTGATATACAGACAGTTGGTTACAACCTGGTGTCATACAGACAGTTGGTTAGGGACCTTGTGATATACAGACTGTTGGTCACACTCTGGTAATCTACAGACAGTTGGTTAGGGACCTTGTGATATACAGATAGTTGGTCACGACCTGGTGATCTACAGACAGTTGGTTATGACCTGGTTGTGATGATATATTATACTGTTCTATTTTAAGGATCTGTTCATGTGACAATTCAACACTTATTTTACACCATACCATATCATACAGAGGAGATTATGAGAAAATAGATATTCAAAGAAAATTGTATGTCTTGTTTTCTTGCTGTGATATGTCCAAGATACAAATTTGACATAATTCCTTTTTTTTTTTTAAATATGCTTTTCTTGTTCTTAAATGGACAAAAATGAGGGGTTGGGGGGCCTGTATGTTTCTTTTGTTGACAAAGTGTGCGCCAATTTTCCTTTTTTACAGGGATCAATGATCAAAAAGTCTTGAGTTGACCTAAATAAGCAATAAAATACTGTATCAATATTGTACAATTAATGTTACACTTTTATCGCATACAAAATGTATGAACAATATAAAACATCTAAAACTTGCCACTATTAAGTGTATTAAAAATGGTGATACAATGACACTTCCATGTTTAAATTTGTGTCAAATTATTGAAATTTCAGCATGCAAGAAATATCCGTTTTTATATTCAAATTCATTAATTGGCTGCCGCATCGGTCTATTTTGAATACATTTATACAAACAATAAATACCTGGCATGATTACTTTTGAAATTTGGATCATAATCTGTTAAATTCAATGAAAACCTCTAACACTAAGTCAAAGTGTGACTTGAATGTGATTTAGATTAGATCCTTCACACTTTTGGGATTTTCTCTCCCACTATGTTAGTTTTAAGACTTGTAGTTAAAGCTTTAAATACCTGATTACTGTTATGAACTGTGAAGGTCATCAGACAGTAGACTGATAATGACAGAGAGGAAAAGCCTTTAATTTGTAGTTAAATGTGAGAAGAAAGTGATTAGACAGATGGTTTATGATGGTAAGTGGAATAAGTTAATATTGAATTCATATACAGATAAGAAAGATGTATTCACAAGTATGATAGTGTTAACAGTAGTAGGATACATCAGTCCCATGTCTGGTTATACACTTTTGTACCTACAGGCCTACAGCCATGTAAAGAAGAATTTTATGGCTTTAGATGGCAGCAAATCTTGGAATGTTGTGCCATATTGGTAGTGTGTAGTAAAATACGTTTGTACATGTGTAAAGTTTGACAGCTTAGAATCTCAGGGGCATCAAACACAGTGACACGGTAGAAGGAACAGTATACATATGTACTGGTACATACTAGTTATTCCGATGTGTCTGGAATGTATGGAGAGAACCAGTTATCTCCCCCTTGATCAATGTGCTGCTCTATGAAATAGAATTTCTCATATAAAATTCCCAATGCTCCTGTAAAACCTAGTCTCATTTTTTTTCATTTTTTTCTGGTCTATAATAATGCTCTTCAAATGAAAAAATATGTTCTTCAGTCATAATATTTATTTACCATTAATGTTGATAAAGCATGAATGATACAGTTTTGCAGACAAACAGCATAATGAGTGCCAGCACATTATAATTGTTTGCCTGCAAATATGTATCATTCCTAGTAAATGCCATATATCAAAACAGATCAATGCCTATATTAACCTTTTTTGGAGTATTTTAATATCATACAAATTAAATCTGCTTATTAAAATCAGTATTTAGTTCAAATTACAGCATCCTTTTTAAATAAATAGAACAGCCATCTTCCATTGAGGATCATTGGTATATTAATGTTACAATACTGACGATGTTAACATGTGGGCCATGGCATTTACAGTCTATATCAAGGCCGTCTGAACTTGCCAGGGTTACATTATAGTGGCAGTGCCATAGTGTGGTAAATGTATAATATTGGTTTGAAGATATCCATTAGTTAAGCATTATACAGGGCATATCACTCATTCAAGTTATGGTTGCCTTGTTTTCGAGTAAGCTGTTTACTAAACATCCTAATGTCTTAAGTGTCAAACGGTCAGATTCTATCCAAAGACATATTTCAGATGGAAGTTATGGTACTCATGAAGTTATGACACTGACTTAAGGATACTGTACAAGGGTGTATTGTAGTCTGTGTAAATTGAAATGTACAAGACTGTGTACCAACCCTTCCAACCTTAATAACATTTTGTAGACTAGTCCACAATGGTCAGAGAAAAACAATGGCAGACTTCACTGTTGATTAAAGGGTGTGGAAGGGTTTACTGTAGAAAGAGTATGTTTGTAGTGTTGACAAGTGAGAATGAGAAGTATGGATTGTTTGTTATTTTATTATTATTATTGAAAATCTCAGCTAAGCTGTAGATTATTTAGTGTCAATCAATAAAGCTGTCATCTGTATTGTAGATTTGGTCTATCTTGTTTTTTCATCTCTAAGTCATCCTCCACTGTTTTGTTTTTTCTTCAGTTTTCATATTAGGGTACACCTCTAAGAATTCAGTTTTATTTCATGAACATGTTGTAATGAAATTTCAAGTGTTACTTTCCAACCTTCTCTAACAAGATACTCTATAGCAAGTTATTTTCATGGATTTCAATTTCCACAATTTTTAGTCAGAATTGGGAAACTAAATTTACATTAATAAAATTTTGCAATCTTGAGATACGAGAGAATCTAAATTTGGTGGATATCCTCACGGAAACAACCTGCTATACAGTATGATAGTGTACCATATGTACCCAATGTTATGTATGGATAGCAATCTACTTGATAACATTTACATTGAGCAAAGAGACAAGTCTTATATGTTTAAACAATAAAATGGTTTATTAAATAAGAATGTCTCTTTTGCCATGAAACTTTTCAAATTTTTCATCAGAATTCATACACGGCATGTTTAAAGCAGCAAATCTAACACATTTTTCTAACCATACTTCACACTTAATATTTCCTTCCTGTCTATTAAACAATCTCATTAGCTAAGCTGGAGTCTAACTGACACCTTAGTAGTTAGCGCCTGATAAGACAGCTCCTGTGAATTCCTCAAAAATTGTATATCCTAATTGTATTAATTGTATATCTATGTAGTGTAAAGCGCTTTAGAGTGGCTTATGTTAGCTAGATGGGGCGCTATATCAAATGTTGTATATTATTATTAATCCGAAACTTTTGCAGAGTATCAACATTTTAGTTTTTTGCAGTTGGCCAAAAAATAAGTATCTGATAGTAAGTGATTAAGTGTTCAAATACACTTACTGAATGATGTAGCAAGTTTATAATGTATAGCCAGGTGTACAATGCATGTACCAACTGACCCCACAAGTTTGTTAAGTACAGCAAACAATTGTAGAACTTAAATTAGTACCAACTTACCATACAAGTTTAAATCAACAAAATCATTATTTACTTGCAACAGTTTCTTGTTATATAGTACAGCAGAACAGTATTAAACTTTTTTCTGGACAAAGCAGACAAGAATTGTCATGAAACATGATATACAGAATATAGCAGTGGTCATGAAACATGATATACAGAATATAGCAGTTGTCATGAAACATGATATACTGCATATAGTAGTTGTCATGAAACATGATATACAGCATATTACAGGTATCATGAAACATGATATACATCATATAGCAGTTGTCATAAAACATGATATACAGCATATAGCAGTTGTCATGAAACATGATATACATCATATAGCAGTTGTCATGAAACATGACATACAGCATGTAGCAGTTGTCATGAAACATGATATACAGCATATAGCAGTTGTCATGAAACATGATATACAGCATATAGCAGGTGTCATTATACATGATATACAGCATATAGCAGGTGTCATGAAACATGATATACAGCATATAGCAGGTGTCATGAAACATGATATACAGCATATAGCGGGTGTCATGAAACATGATATACAGCATATAGCAGGTGTCATGAAACATGATATACAGCATATAGCAGGTGTCATGAAACATGATATACAGAGTATAGCAATCCTATGAAAGGACTATAATTAAAAGTGTTTTTCTGATATTGAGCCACCCTTAGGCACAAGGTTTGAAATTAGTGTCATACTATTGCACTTGAAATAGTTCATTGGTGTCAAAAATGACATGGCTAGTTCTCAATGCATGTGAACTGAAATTTACATATACTCTCAAAATGTGTGCCCCTGGATGCTATAAGAGCCCAAGATTCACTAAAAGAAATTTCCATACACTGCAATAAAAAGGAAAGAATACCAAATTTGGTTTGATGACAATAGTCTTACAATTTCTTTCTAAAGCATAGGCCAGTGTTCTACCAAATATTTTTCATTGAGCTATGTAAAATTTAACAAAATCTAAATTTCCTTATTCATTCCATTAAAAAGATATTTTGTTAAAAGACATAAATTACCCTGCTATCATAATAGACATTTAATAAACCAAGACAGAGGTGTACAAGTTTCCCTGGATGCACTAGCTAACCAACACATTTCATTATTGTTTAGTTCCCAGTTCTGTTCTATTTCAATGGTCCCAGGCCTAGTTTGGCCCTCTGCTCATTTGCTTCCTTGATTTCCAGTTCTTTCTGTGATAAGCCACTTTCACGTTTGTCACGACGATCCCTGTGTTTGTGGCGATCACGATCACGGTCATCTGAATGTTTGTGATGGCGGTCACTGTCGTCAGAGTGTTTGTGATGGCGATCGCTTTCCTTTCGGTCTTTATGATCTTTATGGTCATGTTTGTGTTTTTTGTGCTTTCTTCTTCTGCAAATAAAACCAAAAAATTTGTAAAATTTAGCAAAGATGTAAATATAATCAATAAAAAAAATTGTAAATAGAATAGAACAACAAAACTATGTAATTCTTTTTTTTCTAACTTTCACTAATGTAAGTTCTAAGTTCCAAATGACTTACTGAATCAGAAGAAAAAAACAAACATTTTACTTACCTGTCATCATCCTCATCACGACGCCTTGATTTCTCTGTTAAAAGAAAAATACTGATTAAGTATGGTGCTAGACAAAACCCCACAAAATCATAGAATGATTTTAAAATTCAAGCATACAATATTTACAATATATACATCATGGAAAAGATTCTACAGAAATACATCAACCGCCCTGCTTTTAATGAAAAAATGGAGACTTGTTCATTGGAGGAAATAGTCCAGCTGCATTGGTGTGAAAGGAGTTTTCATACCAAGGGCAATTAATATTCATATCTAATGAAATAATGATGAATAGTCTCCTCGCAAATACCTGGTCAATGTTTATTCAAATTTACCCTGGTATGGTAACATCTTCAATCGGAAATTTCACCCAGATTAAATATACTAACATTCAGTTAATATGTTGTCACTAATCAATGAAAAGCACACTCTTGGAAGAGTAAAATCTTTTTTGAAATTCGAACAATAACTAAAGCTATATAAATAAAGACTAAGAAAAATCTGTATATTTTAACAGTCAGGCCAGTATGAACTGACAGTGATATTTTGTCTGAAACATGCCAGCACTGACTAATGACTAATTTTGACTTCATTGTGATGTTATCTTCTGATATTTCAAGTGGACACTACTGGCTGTGTTCAGGATGATTTACCATCTGATGATATTAAATTGATTTGTACATCAAACAGTGTTTGATTAAGCAATTTTGTGAAACGTTCAATATCTACAACAAATAGGACAATTTTATTTCATAGCTTGAAACAACTAAACCAACACGGAAGCCCTTCGTTTCTATATTTGGAAAACAATTTCATATGATGCTTTAAAGTTTTAAGAAATCATTCATTAAAAAAATAAACTTCAAATTCAATCTATACTACCTGTTTGCCTCTGCATGGACATAAAGTTATTAAATTGTAAAATGTCTCGTATTTAAACTATATATGTCACAATAGCAATCAAAGTCAGCTATCATTTAATTTTTCCTACTTCATACCTGCTATACAATATTTTTCATTGTCCCAATGACCAAATGGTATGAGTAGTTCATAATAATTCAATTCTGTCACAATAACCATTTTCTAAAATAGCCATACCATCTTTCAACCATCACCATAACATTTTACCCAATATCTAGCTGAAGGTTCCCTAGGTCCCTATGGTAGACATGCAGTGCACTTATAAACAAAACAACCAACCACCACGCAATGGAAAAGCTTCACAATGGGACTGTTTATGATTTATCAATGAAACAGATCATGGAAAGTGTAAAACTTTTATTAAAGTCTATAACCTTTGACTGAAAAAATCCACAAATATTGTTTAAAATAATAGTTGGTACCAATCTGTACTCCCTCCTTATAAGAAGTGACTTGAATCAATAAATCCCTTTTGCTTATTAATCTACTGATTTATATATCTTTCATGACTTAATGAGGAAATGAGTTTGTGGGGGAAGTATTCACAGGTGTGATTGATGAAAGTATTCACAGGCAAGTGTGACTGATGAAGTATTCACAGGTAAGTGTGACTGATGAAGTATATTCACAGATAAGTGTGACTGATAAAGTATTCACAGTTAAGTGTGACTGATGAAGTATTCACAGGTAAGTGTGACTGATGAAGTATTCACAGTTAAGTGTGTCTGATGGAGTATTCACAGGTAAGTGTGACTGATGAAGTATTCACAGGTAAGTGTGACTGATGAAGTATATTCACAGACAAATGTGACTGATGAAGTATTCACAGGTAAGTGACTGATTAAATATTCACAGTTAAGTGTGTCTGATGAAGTATTTACAGGTAAGTGTGACTGATGAAGTATATTCACAGGTAAGTGTGACTGATGAAGTATTCACATGTAAGTGTGACTGATGAAGTATATTCACAGGTAAAAGTGACTGATGAAATATTCACATGTAAGTGTGACTGATGAAGTATATTCAGAGGTAAGTGTGACTGATGAAGTATTCACAGGTAAGTGTGACTGATTAAGTATATTCAGAGGTAAGTGTGTCTGATGAAGTATTCACAGGTAAGTGTTACTGATGAAGTATATTCACAGGTAAAAGTGACTGATGAAATATTCACATATAAGTGTGACTGATGAAGTATATTCGGAGGTAAGTGTGACTGATGAAGTATTTACCGTTAAGGGTGGCTGATGAAGTATTTACAGGGAAGTGTGACTGATGAAGTATTTACAGTTAATTGTGACTGATGAAGTATTTACAGTTAAGTGTGACTGATGAAATATTCACATGTAAGTGTGACTGATGAAGTATATTCACGTTAAGTGTGACTGATGAAGTATATTCACGTTAAGTGTCTGTGTCTGATGAAGTATCCACAGGTAAGTGTGACTGATGAAGTATTTACAGTTAAGTGTGGCTGATGAAGTATTTACAGGTAAGTGTGACTGATGAAGTATTCACAGGTAAGTGTGACTGATTAAGTATTCACAGGTAAGTGTGACTGATGAAGTATTTACAGTTAAGTGTGACTGATGAAGTATTTACAGGTAAGTGTGACTGATGAAGTGTTCACAGGTAAGTGTGACTGATGAAGTATTCACAGGTAAGTGTGACTGATGAAGTATATTCACAGGTAAGAGTGACTGATGAAGTATTCACAATCTCATATCCTTGTGAGTGAATGATCAAAAAAGATCTCCTGGAAACAAAAGGGCTTTTCCAGGTTATAAAAAAGGGAGGAAGTTTGTGCCACTATCATCTACATTTTCTCGTTTCCCTGTTCTCATTTCACATTTCAACAATCTTTTTAACCCTGACCACCCATATTTTATCAATTACTGTGTGCCCTCTACACCACTAACCCCCAAAGTATTGACAGCTGGAGGTGAAATACAATATCACATATGTATTGAAATTATCTTGATGAAATAGAAGATCATGATCAATTACCAAATAATTTTCATCACCATTATAAAAAACGATAAAAATGTTTTTTACAACAATCATAAGCGGTTTTATAAAATGTTTGATCACAATGTCCAAATCCGCGAAGGCAAAACAAAATAAAAGATCCCTCAATTTTCTCAGAAACAAATTACCAGTACCAATCTTTTCCTTGCGTGACCTCTCTGAAAATGGTGAATCAAACAAACACTTCCATCATCAGTCACTCATCTCAATTAACTTCATAAAGATTGAGTCTTCTTAGTGGAAAGTGACTTGATTATAAAGGTCCTTTCCTCAAAGATACTGACCTTCCGGCCAATTTAGGACTGAGACAATTTGATGAATTGCACAATAACTTTACTGTCTATGGCTTGCACTTCCTTTTTTACATAGTATAAAGAGTGAAAATAAGTCAACTTTGAAGTTAATAATTTTAACTTTACCAATGCCGCATCGACTTGTGATAAATACCAGTATGTTAACTTTACCAATGCCGCGTCAACTTGTGATAAATACCAGTATGTTAACTTTACCAATGCCGCATCGACTTGTGATAAATACCAGCATGTTAACTTTACCAATGCCGCGTCAACTTGTGATAAATATCAGTATGTTAACTTTACCAATGCCGCGTCGACTTGTGATAAATACCACTATGTTAACTTTACCAATGCCACGTCAACTTGTTATAAATACCAATATGTTAACTTTACCAATGCTGCGTCAACTTGTAATAAATACCAGTATGTTAACTTTACCAATGCCACGTCGACTTGTGATAAATACAAGTATGTTAACTTTACCAATGCCACGTTGACTTGTGATAAATACCAGTATGTTAACTTTACCAATGCCACGTCGACTTGTGATAAATACCAGTATGTTAACTTTTCATGAGTTTAAACACAGAGATTAATTACTTAATGGGTTGAGTTCAATTATTTTGTCCAAAATCTGTGACCCACAAAGACAAAAGTGACAATATTACCTGGAGATCTGCGACGCTTGTCTCTGTCCTTATCCCTGTCACGGGACCGAGAACGCTTTCGGTTAGACCTGCAGAAAATATCCCATTACATAACAGTAAAAAAGAAAGATCATGATAAACACGCATTGAAAATGTCTGTGAAAAACTATCTGCAAGGAAAACCTTTCCACAGAATGACTTATGAGTTAATAACGGAGCTATATAATTCATTTATTTTTGCTCACTTATTAAAGGAAGATTTTGCTAAAAATCAGCTTGTACGAGATGGTATTAATATTATGTACCTGCTGTGGGGTGAAGGACTGCGAGCGTGTCGCGGTGATGGACTTCTGTTTGGTTTGTCTACATCTTTGTGGCTGCCTCTCCTCCGCTCCGGAGATAAACTTCTCTCATGCTGCAACATCAAATATTTAAATACTGAAACTCATAACCATTGTTTCCCTACTTTTTGCTCTGTATTGCCTTAAAGTTTCCCAATTACATATCATTCAATATCTATGCAACCAAGGTAATTTGCTCCCAGTACCCTTGTTCAGAGTCGAACTCGGGACTAAAGATTGTTAGACCAGTGCTCCATTGACAGAGTTAAAGAAAAATTCACCCGAGTTAGTAACAAGTGACTAGATGGCTCACCAGTGTGACATGCACCCCTTCCATGGAAAGACCTTGTCATCAAGCCCTCAAAAGTACAGCTGTGTTTGTGAAAGCACTATAAGGAGACCATCTGACAGAGTACCTTAGTTGGTATCAATGTAGCTGACTTCACATTTTCCCAGTGCCTTCACTAGGAGTTGAAGCCAGGACCACAGGTTACTAGTCCAGAGTTCAACTAGTTGAGCTGTAGAAATTTCCCTTTAGCAGAGTCAGTCATAAATGACTAGATGGCTACCACACTGACTTTGATGAGTCAAAAGACAGTTTAAAGCAAGAGATCTGGCCTGAATTCCTTACCTACTGTCTGAATAGCATAATCCACATTTCAAAGCCTACGTATACACACTTAGTTTTGATACCAAGTTTGAAATAACCATCAAACTATGAAAAAGATTTGAGAATACATGTACCTGGTATTTGGTACAAAATGCTAGATATCAAGTCTTGTAGAATTTCCTGATTTACTTTATCTTCACTATATACAGTTGTGGTCTAAATGAAATTTCTTAATTCTACATGAAATATTAGCAAATAAGAGTTATAATGTCAAAGAGAGTATGTGGTGTAGCATGAAATGAAACCCTTGTAAACTTCATTCAGGTGAAACACAGCGGAGGTATGACCTGACAATATTAAACTTATTTTTGACAAATTTCTATAAATAGTAACGGTGACCTTGGCTTTTGATTCCTTTCAGGAACTCATTCAAGGTTTTCTCATACTTGACCTTTGTATAAAGTTAGCCAAAAGTAATTTCTCTGAATTGGTTTTGCCCCCAAAAAATAACAACATACAAGGTATAAAAAGCTTCTTTCCACGACATTTCCTATTCCATTTGTGACAATGCATTACCTGTTACTTTTGGCCTACATTTTTTTAACAGTGCATGAGCACTAAGTTCTTACAATGTACATTTAAGTGACATGAAACATGAGGTTGAAACTGACCACTGCCTCCTCATCATCTGAGGTGTCCATGTTCTCCAGATCCTCCTCCAATGCACTGACCCGAGGGTCCAGTGTGTTACTCTCCTCCATCACTGTTCGTTTCTGTGGACATATGACAAAAGAAAATATGTCTTTAGTATAAATGCTACCTAAATGTCACATGCATCTCATTTCAAAAAGACTTCCATTCAAAGAAACTTGTCAAATATCTTTTAATAATGGTATTTTGGTCTGGGTAAATTAGTTGGTGATACTTTTGAAAGGAACACAAGAATTAATGACAATTGGAATGGAACCCAAGAACTGACAACATATTTGAAAGGTACACGGAATTGATGGCATGTTTGAAGGGTACATACCATGAGAATTGATGGCATATTTGAAAGATACACAAATATATGTAATAATTGTGCAAATTTTAAAATCACAAAAAGACTGATTTATGCCAACTCACAGCTTTTCAGGAGAATGATTTGATTTTGTAGGTATGTACAAGTAATCAATGTAACAATATAGTGAACACATTATAATATAATAACATACACAACGTAGTGGTGTCAACAACAACAATCAGAAGTCTTCAGGATTTTCCACTCATATCTTATCACCCTTCCCAGAGCAGGTATACTATATATACATACAAACAGCTACACTGAGTACACGTGGGTTTTTGGTACTAAGTATTATATAGACTTATTTCTGACTTACCTGGAGTCTCGGTAAGATGATGTCACACACTCGTTCCTCTCTAATTAATTCATCTATAAACTCATCCATATGTATCAGCTCAAACCCTAAAAGATATATCAGCAATATTTATATGTGCAGTCCAAGCATATTATGGCATGAACTGCAAAATTGATATGTATTTAAACAATAATAAATGACCAAGTTCTTTGAATAAGCATCAGCTTTTGCACAGCAAAATGCTGTTCAAATCTTCCTCTGGAGTATTTAAACATTTCTATTATGGCTTCAGCACAATACACAAATTTTGGGCGCCCGCCACACTGCAGATGTACAGATTGATAATAGGTATCTAGACAAGAAAAAGTTCTGTCAGACATTAATGTTCCTTGCCCATAAAGTCAGAACTGATAACTGTGAATCTGTTGACGAAATAGCAATGATTGACCAATACACTGTTTATAGCTTTGACAATGAATTATGATGCACAGACATTGAGGGGGGGGGGGGGGGCCATCAAATTAACCCAAAAGAAAAATTAATTAACATATTTATTTCTTAAAATATCAATAAAAAAATCAGTAAAACCACCCTTACCACCATCTTTGTCCTGACGTTTCAGCTTTCTGTAATCGTAATACAGGGGCTCCAAGTATTTGTAGCAGTCCAATGATGACCCTGTTAATCGCATGTAAAATGCTCCAAGTGCTCGAACATACCTGGCAAAAAAAAAAGAGAAATGTAAACAATATAACTACCAAGTTTTAAACTGAAGCAAAATCTAACCAAAGAGATATGGGGCTTAACACAAAGTCTTACCATAGTCAATGAAGTGGAAAATATTGGTCACAGTGACCTACAATTTATCAATAGGTATGCATGTAATACATGATTTATCCACATGAGGTAAGATGACTGCTGGACTTCATGTGTTAGCATAATGGAGCTAAAGTCTAAGTGCAATCAATATGTCATACAGTCAGATGGCCGGACAGAAAATACAAACATTTAATGACCCTACACTAATGTGGTAGGGGCATAAATTTAGTATTGGCTATTGCCAAATTGATATATCTACATAATGTTTCTGAAGTCTTTGCTTAGTAATCGTTTGAACATAGGTGTACAGATTAGATAAATGTTAAAAATTTAACATTAATCATAACATTTTTATGAATTCTTTCAGAACTAAGTAAACTTTGCAATTTCGATTCTTTCCTACAGCTTTTTCTGTACTGATCAAATACTTTGACAGTCCCTAGACTGTTATCAGTATCCTTTTAATTCTATTATCTTTGCTTTTGCAAGGAATCTGGATGTGAAACCCAAACAAACAACAAAATAGATCAGAAATCAATGATAATGATTCCATGGAGAAAAAGCATAAAGAATGATAGTATCTACATTTGTAAACAATGCTTACTTGAAGTTCTCGTTTCTGAGGAACTCAACAACAATGTCCTTTTCTGGCTGGATCTGCAGCATTTTGAGTACAAGGCAGAGGAATGGAGATGGTTTTACGTTACCGCCATACACACCGCCAATGTACTTCAGCTCCATGGCCTTGTCCACCAGCAAGGCAGCTACAAGATAAACAATCAAATTACTTGTGATATCTCTTATCCATGTCATTGTCAATATTACCAAAGTCCATGCTCATTGTACAGATGAATCCTAAACCTAAAAAAATGTCATTAAAATATACCACAAATGAAGTGACAACATTGTATTGAATTCAAGGCCCAGATATAAAATAGAAATCGCAAACAGACTTGTTACATTTAATGTGTAGCAGCCAAGAAATATTAGGGGAAAATACAGCCTTACTGACCAGCTAGCTTTCAGTGATGCAGAAATATCTGGAACAAACTAAGTTCAGCAATCACGAGTGTGGTCAGTGCATTGGTACACAGGGAGGACCCAGGGGATTCCCCAGGCCAAGGCTCCGAGGTTGGAGTGATAACTGTATGTGTTATGTGTGCGCATGTACATTGTGTGTGTGTGTGTGTGTGTGTGTGTGTGTGTGTGAGGGGGGTTTAGGGTTTACTTAAGTATAAAAAAAGAAGTAATATACAATTTATTTAGGAACAGTATTACAGCATTGACCTGATGAAGTATTGGGGTTGGGGGTTGGGGACGGTGCAGACGTATACAACCAGGTGTTGAGTGGACAGGTTAGGATTCGTCCTTTGGGCGACTCAAGGGTACCAGGTCAGACTTACAGGCCAGCCATGCATTAGTATGGGAGGAGATGAATTGTGTAGGGATTTGTTTACAAACAGGTGGTTGTATGCTGTAATCTGTGTGTACTTAGAAAGTGTCAGAGAGGTAAAAAGCTTACTTGAAGGAGTCAAGTGTCTCGGCAGTAGCCACAGAGGCTTGAAGAGGGTTCCAGTCTCTTATGGTGTGGGGAAAGAAGGTTAACTGTATAGGTCTTTTGTTGCTGTAGATGTAATAGGGTTGAGTCTCTGTGTTTACCTCTTGTGCTTAGAGTCTGAGCGAATAAGTAAAGTGTCTGAAAAGTTATGGAGTGATGGAGGATCTTGTATATCTTAACTAGTCTCGCATTCCTCTGACTTTTCTCTAGAGTTTCCCACTGTAAATTATCAACCATGGTGACTAATCCAGGGTGCAAGAATTTTAGTCATTAAACATGTACCTAGCTGATCTTCTTTGTACGACAAATTCAAACTGAGTTGTGTGATCCCTATGGTAGGGATACAGTGCTGAGCATGCATACTCTAGCTGATGACTTACTAAAGAAGTATGCATGAGGGACTTAACCTTCCTGGAGCAACCCTGCGCATACATGCCATATCTAACGATTTTGGCGTAAGACTCACGAAAACTGCTTCAGAAAAAATCCTCACGACGAGAGACACATTTCTCACGAATTTCAATCGGTCTCACGAAAAGAAACGAAATTTGGTCAATCTAAGTGAATAAACAATAGCTACATGGATTCACACTGACCTTGGCCACTAAGAGGTCTGAAGTCAAATGCGAGCCACTTATATTACGGACCAGGACAATTAGCAGCATAGGTGTGAAAGTTCTGAATGGCCTGGCCAGCCGATTTAGCGGGGCATGGCTTGGTGACTTCCTCACCGATGTGTGAACTGTTAGGCAATTAAATCAGTGATCCCATGTCCAGTGGGGGCTAGTTGCTAATTAATATATGTGATGACAGTTGATATTAACATTAAACAGCAACATAAGAGCTGTTAATTCATTACAATCGAAAACATGGTTTACTGACGGAAATGTTGGAGGTGACTATAAAATCGAAACCAGACACTGACATTGAATCCAGAATTTATTCTCTTGTCGTCGGGATGGGATTGAGTGTTAATGACAATAACATAAACAGAAGAAAACAAGTTTCTTCAAAATTGGATATATAACAATAGTAGTTTTTGGTTTACATTTTTTCCACAAAAACTTAATATTAAATATTCCTAATGTTTTGAGATATTTTTTAACTACTCTATTTTTTTGCCTTTTATGTGATACATTTACTTTTAAATGTTAACACCTTTATCTGGACCGTTGGTCACGTGTATACCTTCCTAAAATCCTTTAAAATATCAATAAATCTTCCAATTTTGGCTCTAACAAAGTAATTAGAGGCTTCAGAATAACACAAATGATTAATACTATGTTATATATGCTATATATAATTTATGCTTTAAATGTCTCACAAATTTCTCACTAATTCAGAGAAAAAATCTCAATAATTCATAGAAAAAATCTCACTATTTTTTACCAAATCTCACTAAAAATAATAACTGATCTCACTCTTTTGCACAGGAAAGTTATGGCATGTATGCCTGCATGTTATGGCGCAGGAATCCAAGTGCTATGTTCGACTTGGCAGTTATCGAAGAAATATTTTTTAATTACCCTATTTTTTTGCCTTTTATGTGATATATTTACTTTTAAATGTTAACACCTTTATCTGGACTGTTGGTCACGTGTATACCTTCCTAAAATCCTTTAAAATATCAATAAATCTTCCAATTTTGGCTCTAACAAAGTAATTAGAGGCTTCAGAATAACACAAATGATTAATACTATGTTATATATGCTATATATAATTTATGCTTTAAATGTCTCACAAATATCTCACCAATTCAGAGAAAAAATCTCACTATTTTTTACCAAATCTCACTAAAAATAATAACTGATCTCACTCTTTTGCACAGGAAAGTTATGGCATGTATGCCTGCATGTTATGGCGCAGGAATCCAAGTGCTGTGTTCGACTTGGCAGTTATCGAAGAAATGTGAGGTCCCCTGGAGAAATCTTTGGAAATAGTAACGCAAAGATATTTACTCAAGGAAACGATCTGGAAGTTTTGACCATGGATGGTGTAGATGGTGGAGATGGCAGATCACTTCTTGCACATTCTAATGACTAAAGATGTATATGCGTTGAAACTCATCTGCCATTCATCCCATTTTTATACATTGGAAAGGTCATTTTGCAGCTGAGTGGAATCATTTTTATTGTGAATAGGCCTGAACAGTAGTCAATCGTCAGCAAACAGACGTGCATTCAATATATACAGTTCCCAAAATTTAGCAACAAACCCTCATCAATTATTGGCTTTTATTACAATTACGACAGTACCCTTGCATGCTTTTTCTATTCCACATGAAAAGGAATAACAATCCATTATATATCATGATTTGTAAACTCAAACCTGTTGAAGCAAATACAGTAGTATATCAAGAAGTTATGTCTTGGTTGCAGTCACATCATATCCGATCAAAAATAGCCAACCAGCGGCTTCATATGCTAATAAAATAATGTTATAGTAGTTTTCTCCCTATGTGACATCAGGGTGGGGGGAAATAACTGAATAATTTTCCTCGAATTCGGGAAAGTTCCTTATCAAATGCTTTACACGCAAGGAAAATACAGTACTACAGTAATCGTTTTGGTGATACAATGTAGTTGTCAAAACATTTCAAAATTCAAAAAAACAACACAAACTTTTGTGAATCAAGGCGAAGTAAGATCAAGACAACATTACCAGTCAGCGCAAAACATTCTTCTTTCCAGTATCTGCATTCGTAAATTCTTGTTCTAATGATCTTTTCCACTAGATACTGAGGATTCGTCCCTTTCACCGAATGAGCATCCTTCACAGTTCGGTTCGCCATGCTGACGCTCTTGTGGTCAAAATCAAACTTTATAAAAGCATTATCAAACACGTTTCTTACAAACGCTTTAATAACTGAAATAAAGTATTTCCATAAGTCTCGGAGTTTTACCTTACTTCAATGATTAGGCTAGAGAGGAACAAAATATAATTTAAAGTATGGAACATTTCAAAAAACATGTATTAATATGTTGACACTGTTTTTCAATTGTTTCTATTTATGGAAATAATATGCATTCCAATGTCTTTTATATAATTGATATATCGACTTATTCTATCAATCTTCATGGGTAGTGTAAAATTATATCTATCATTAAAGACGGGTCAAATATTCTGATCCAAGATGAAACAGACTATAAGACTGGTTTGGGGACTGGTGGCGGGAAAGCTAAAAGGGAACAGCTGAGAAACTCGAGAAGCGAAAATGACTAAGAAATATTTCTCAGCTGTTTGCAATGCGAAACAGTTTTCGTGGAAAGGAGAAGGACAGGTAACCGATAGACGAAGATGTAACGAAAAACATTATGAGTAAGTAAAGATTTGTCCTTTCTTTTTCTTTAAATTTCAATGCAACGATGTTGTTGTTATTAGCCCATCGTCGACGGACATGCGTACGTTGATATGTAGGCCTAGCTGCGATAACGTAGCTTTCTGACGACGAGAGATTTTTTTTTATATATTGCGTCGTATCAGAGGAGGCCGGGTATTAATATTAGTACTAATGTAGGCCTAGCTATAAACCTGTTACATACGGTCAACACTAATAACAACAGAATATTGTCTGTAATAAGAAGGTTGACCGTTGAAAGAAAGAAAAAAAAGAAATTATTTTTTTGCTCTTTCCCACGATTGTGTTGGGAATGTGGGGGTAGGGAGCTAGTAGAATTCCATATATATTGGCAAATGCTGGATTTCCTTGGGGCGTACGTACGTGAGCCCGGTAAAATCTAGTACTAATATTAATACCCGAAAGAAAATATCTCTTCGACAGAAACAACGTTATCACAGCTAGTAAAATCGTACCCCATTCCGGCAGTCCTTCTGGCCAGTATGTTGGGCATAATGAGGATTGGGCAATTATTTTCCTGTATTAAATTTATATATAACTTGCTCAGCAAGGCGACTCAGCACAGCATTATATATATATAGACATGCAGCATAATTAATATGAAAACTTACTGAAGATGACTTGTTGCATTAGAACTACTGCTTGCAAGCTTAATTACAGGATACATGGAGATTAATTTAGAGTCGTACATGTTAAACAATGAACATTAGCTCTGTATAGCTATTATTTGTTTCTAGTTTTTTTTTTCCCTTCATACTATTTTCTTCAACATTTTCACAGACATAAATTGTTGCATATATCAACAAACTTTGTGGCATGTGTAGAATGATGTATAGGTGCAGAAGAATGAAGTTTTAATTTCACTAAAATGTCACAACCAGGACATAGACAGGTAGTGTATGTTATATGTAATTTTTACTATTGTAAAAGAGTTGGTTTCAAACTAGAGAAACCAAACCCAGGTTCGGTGAAATTGGGTTTGTCAGGATCTTAATTTATGAATATAAATCCTATAAAGGCGGAATGTCTCATAGACGATAACAAAAAAACAAGATCACAGCTACATATACCTGCTACTATATGTGGGCAAACACCTAACCCTACTATTATCTGTAGACGGCGCCAATATAAATCTACATAATACGACCACTACATAAAGGAAGAAGTTTAATCTAAAGGCCTGCTCTCTAGGTACCGTACTTATAGTTGGGTATCACTACGTAAAAAGGGTAAGTCAATCAATCATGAGACTTTAAAACCTGACTGACAAAATATACTAGCTAGCCGACTTATACACCCAAAAACACAGCAATTTGCACATGCAATATTCATGCCAGAAATACCTGGATCACTTCTGCTTTGAATTAGTAATAAAATAGTTCCGAATAGAGTTCGGTAAATGGTTGAAAATGCCAATTGATCATCGGTTGGAATCGGATGATTTTAAATTGCAGTGATGGATATTTCATTTATTAATTTTGTGTGGGTTTATTGTTTAGATTTCAATTCCTGAAATCCTGGTCCAGATCTGTCCGCTTATTAGTCACGCCATTGCAATAAACAGTGATGTCTTTCAGGCAAAAATGATGTCACTCAGTTGAAACTATTACATATGTAGTTATCTAAGAAAGTAAATAAAATCTTTATTTGTCCCTTTGGCCTATTTTAGCCAGAAATTCAGTTCTTTTTCACCAGCCTCAAATTCCCAAAAAAAGTCTGAAATTGAAAGAAAGATTGACCGTATTCTACCGGAATGTTTTTCTTCAAAACGAAAAAATAAAATTTGTTTTCAAGAACTTTTTGTTGGTTTCATAATTGCTTAACTGTATCTCGCTAAACTACAGTCAATTCAGTTAATAATTCATTCACATCCAGTCGGAGGAAACCGACTAGTGAGTCAAATTTTTTGCCTTGCCCAAGGTCTAAAACTGGTTTTCCTCGGCTTCGGGCATGTGGATTTTAATTCTTGCGTCTCTGGAATGACAAGTTGCTAATAACAACAGAATTATAAGATATTCGAGCAGGTATCTAAAACATTCTGCCGGTCCAAGGTAAAAAAAAATCGATATGTCCAACAGAGTTTGTCACACGTGTACACTGATTTAATATTGTTTATCTCAAAATATTTTAGTGTTTTCAGGCAGTACTATAAACTTTTTATAGTGAACATAATCAATCATCGACACAACACTAGTTCCAAATACACTTAACTTTCTAGTTAAGAACCAAAACATGCAAACGAAGTTCAGTAAGCAAATGGCCTACAGAATTGTACTCAAAACGATAAGTTTAATTTAGTGTTGTCCCGATGATCTATTATAATCGATATCTAATCGGAAAGGCAACCGATTCCCGGCAATCGATAATGAGATGGCAACATTGATGATTGTTTTCAAAACCGAAAGTGCAAGTTCTACTTTCCTTTTCACTAAGAAAGAACAGGATCTCTGTGTCATTTTACTCTTAACTATAACTTCTTACCAATCATGCTAATAAAGATACGAAACTACGCGGAGTAAAGCTAATACAAAATCAAAATGGCAGCATACTCTCGAAATGGGCCTAAGGATTATGTAACGGTAGGCTAACCTATTAATAATCGAAAATAGATCGGTTGACACTAACCGATTGTATCCAATTACTGATGTTGAAATCTCGACTGATTCCCAACACTAGTTTAATTTACAAATATTTCTCAACTTTTACACAATTAATATTGTTTCATTTAACAGGGAGTTTACACTTAACAGGACTCAATACAGATTGGGTGATTTTGTATTTATTGATGCTGACAACGAAGCAGGAATTGAGGGTGCATATATTGCTCAAATCAAGGACTTGATTCATGAAGGTATGTAAACACAATCCAAGTGTTCATGTCAATGCTGCATCCTATATAACAATTGAAGAAAATATATACCAGGTAAAATTGTTATTTTCTGTTTGTATTGAAATCAATCAAAGAGGCAAGTGATGACACAGGAGTTGTATAAATGTTATACCAACTTCTAACCAGTCGTCGAACTAGCCCTCATTTGTATAATTCTGTAAAGAAAGGGATAAAAGCTGGAATATAAGTAATTAAATACGTTTAAATAGCTAGGGTTGAGTATTTTTGAAGATTTTTACATGGCGATATACCAAAATATTTGGTCAAACATTCCAACATTTGCAAATTCGTTAATTGTTAAAACCTCCAGGCAAAGAAAAGATCAGCTCCAGATGCTTGGAGGATAAAATATTTAGACGACCCCTCCCATTTTGATGTCTAGCAAAAGCCTGAATGGTATGGTAGTATTACCAAACTCTATTCATTAGAGAATAAGGCAACTTCTCTGATACAGGCTGATATTTGTAGATTGCATCCAAATAAAATATATAAAATCTTGTGTTTGACTGATTATTGATATCAATATTTATCAAGATATATATGTACTTGAATATATCAATGTTAATGAGCTTCCATTTTTGACCAATGCTTAGAATCTGGAGATCAGAAATCTGAGCCCAAAGCTATAGTCCAATGGTACTGGCGCCAATTCGAGATGAAGGCAGCACTGAAACGCATGGAAAGGAAGAACGGGTCAACAGACCCCAAAGAGGTGTTTCTCAACAACGGGAAAAACCTCGACGATACAATCGATATAGACACAATCCTGGAAAAGTGTCAGGTTAGCTTTTACAATATTTTTTACATAATTATTAGGGATGTTGCAATGTTTTGCAATTTCAGTGAGGTAGCACTCTAAACTCGGCATCAGATCTGCACTATCGCAAGGAGCAAAAACATAAACACACCCTGCCTCCGGTACACAAACACACAAGCATGCGTACATCGCACACATAGGCACGTCCTTAAAGGACCTTAGCTGTTAATAGGAACAAAATCAAACCCAACCAAAAACAATACAGGACTGTAATGCATTGCACTGTGATACAGAATCATTGAACGGGTGTATCTATATATCTATTATCATTTTGAAAATGTAAAAGTTTTCCTGTCGTCTTACCTGGGTTGGTGAGGGGCTTTATATAATTAAATCACAGTCAACGTCTCATTTAAGTGTCTGAATGATCCAAAGAGTAAACAATATGGCAGACGATGAAAGCAAGTTCAGTGTTGTCCCAAACATTTGACCCCCCCAGTTACACATGATTATCAGCAAATACACCCATGCTGTATATTTTGCAGATGATGATGATCAGAAAATTTCTGCTGTTTTATTTCAGATTGAACCTTGCCAGCCTGGAGAAATACCAAAGGGAAAGTTGTCGAAACAATTTTATGTTACAAGATCATACAACGGAAGTACATTTTATACCTTACCAGATGTTAAGGTGAGAAAGAATGGAAGCAAAGACTTTAAGGAAAATGAACATGCAAATCGTTCTTCAAGAAGATCATTAGGCTGTGCCCTAGTTACTGGGAAACCTTTTGAGAATTGTACAAATAAAATGCGACAAACAAGGCATTCAGTTGGTGCTGACATTCTGCAGAGTAACAGAGACCTCTTTGACTTTCAGCCGAGTCAACAACAAAGGAGAAGTGTGAAACCAATCAGGAGACTCCACAAGGATGGTGATATAGAAAAATCATCAATTCCTGTGAAAGGGTACCACCCAAATCTGAGTCCAAATTCTATGCGTAAGTTTTTATTAAACTTCAACAGGACAAAAAAAAAATCTGATGGCCAAGAACCAGAAGACATGGGCAGTAGAAAAATAGAAATGTATGTCTACTTGTTAAACAGAATACTAATCTGCTAAATATCACTCTATTCACATTAATGGTGGGGCGGTATTCTCATTGAACCATATGATACAAAGCTATTTACGATACCGTCGCAGTACATTCAAAACTACCCATACAGTGTATAATTTATAATCTAGAGTTAATATCCATCAAATAACGTAAAAGCTTGTGTGAGGAAAATGAAGGTGAACATTCCGAAAGGAGCTCCCCATATTCCATAAATGTAGGCAAGAATGTTTAGTTTGTATAAAAAAAATAACAGGCATGAAAAAGGTTAATTATTTAACATAACGGACGATTCAGAGCATGCAAATCCACCAGAGCGTGGCAGACATGCCAGAGGAAATTGAGTATCTTAACAGGAGTTGAAGTCCAGGTACAAGCACTTTTTTGGTTTTTTGAAGACTGACAAAATGAAGTAGAAATGTTCAATCGTTCTCAATATTCTGGGGAAAAATAATCGATAAATTTCATAGTGAGGTTATAACTTGTGAGAGTGAGCCAAATTCTACTGACAAGTGTTCTAGAGATGGTCTGTCCCAAATCATAATTCAGAATGCAGATAACTTGAAAATGTCCATAAAGTAAACCAGTACAATTAATATTGTAGGTATACTATAAACAGCACCTCACATTAAACAAGTGCTGTCTATGACATCTACATAATGAAAAGTAAGGTACATGCATGTATTGCCTTCAATATCTGCCTAAAGTTGTTCCTTGTATGCATATTACATTTTATGCAAAATAGTATTCATGTTTATCCAAAACAAATATTCTATTAAAAATGGCTGTATCACTATGGTAATGTTTGTAATATTCCTGAGGAGTGCGATCAAACTATATGTATATATCATAGAGTAAGTTTTTCATTTAATTTGTCATCTTGCTTTTGTAGCTTTAGACAGAACCAAAGGAGGAAGTGCTAAATATCCCTGGTACAAAGGGGAGGATGTGGTCAATTTCTTCAGCGATCTCCAGGACGATGACAGTGATGCCGTATCTATTATATCCATGTCCTCTGATAGTGGTATCTCCAATGTTTCTGGACCTACCAGGCGCCCAAAGCATGCGAAAACACCACTAGATTGTGTGTCCATGGATGTAAAACCAAGATCAAGGACAGCTACTCCAACTAAGGTCAAGGTCACAAAGTCAGAAACACCCATCAAGGTCAATAATACTGGGTCAAGGACAGGAACACCATCTAAAGGAACCCCATTAAAGGTTAAACCTGTAAAATATGGTACACCCAAGAAGGTCACTGAAATTGAGTCGAACACAGAAAATTCTAATGTAGAGAATAAGATTACAACTCCAAAAAGGAAAGGTAGTTCTGTAGAACAGGGAGGTAAGCGTTGTAGGACTGAGCCTCGTAGGAGTAGTGTGCGCCAAGAGGACACTTCAAGGTCGGCAAGCAAGGTCGAAAGGAGGAAATTAGTGCCTAGTGTAATAGTGAAGCGTATTGGCGATCATAAGTACGAGTCATTTAGGAACCAGACACCGGACAGCATAGAAAGACCAGCTCGCCGAGGACTTGGTACCATGTTTGACAGAGAGAGTAGAAAATCTGAGACAGACACTCCCATCTGTGGAGGCAGGGCACTCCGGAGACGTTCCACGTAAGTCTACTTCAAATTGGACAGAACTTTTAAGGGACTACATGTATGTAAGTTACTACAAGTAAATACATTAATCAAATTATAGATAGCCTAGTAAAATGTGATTGTTCTTTAATGTTGAATTAATTGAAAAAAATTATAGATATTTTATTTGACTGTAAAAGTTAAATTATATCAGAATCTAAATTGCTATTTCTATTTCAGGAAGGTCAACTACACAGATGTTGACTACACACCAGTAAAGGATGTCAGTGACGAGGACGATGTGTTTGATGTTGAAGACAGCAGTGATGGTAGTGACAGTGTTAAAAGTGGATCTACAACTCCAGCACGCAAGAAGAGAGTTGGTCGGACACCCTCCCGCAAACATTCAACACGGAAAAACACAAGCTCCAAGACATCTTATACACCAAAATCTGCAAAGGTAGTCTTACTTGAAGATTAAAAATCATAGAGAAAATGAACTCTTTACTTTCGAAGACAATTTTCAGGTTAGATTAATTAATATAGGCTTGACATTTAAGGCCTTCGATAGAAAAACACTTTTTGGTCCCAATGTTGTCTTAATGCTGTGTTATGTTGACTATAAGCAACTAAATATTATATTAATCAAGGTTGTTGCATGCTTGGGACATCGGAGCAGGGATAAAAAGGGAAATAATGTGTAAAACTTTTATAAAGGCTACTTATTAACTGAGTGAAAAGATATTGCCCAAATTTGGCATTGTCCATCTGATGATGAGGGGTGATGCTAACCTTGGGAGCAGAAGGGTTGGGGCCAATACAGGAAATGATAGCATTAGCAACTGTAGACAGACGTCAGTGTAAAAGATCATCCCATGACCAACTGTTAATTGAATTGACATATTCAGAAGAAAAAAACATATTTTAATGCTGATTTAAAAACAAGAGAGTATACCTTGGCCTCGGCTTGTTCAGCTCATTCAAAGTTGAATCAGACTTATTTTGCGAAAACTTTCAACGTATTTTCTTATGGTAATGGAAGCATTTCAACTTCTTATCTAGTTCAGATAGTAAAAGAAACAGATGAACAGACCCTGTAGACCTGTTAGTGCGGTCACCGGTACTTCATTATTTCTGATTGGTTGTTTTCCAGAAAATATCTTTAAATACAGGTTTCCACCAAAGGCTTATGGTATTGTCATGAAGTTGCAGGCACTTTCTCTGTTTGGGAAACAAATTCCTCATTTATGAACTAAATTAGAACAAAGTGTTATTTTTTAAACCTAACCTTAGTAATCAAAAATTAAAAAAAAAAAAACTGTTGAAGAACTTAAATCAAAAATATATTTACTCTGAAAATATTTGTTACAATTGCCGGACAGCATGTCCTTAATTTTCAGAATACCTGGGTACTATTATCAAATAAAGAACTATTTGGCTCCTGATTTCTGACTGTTTTATTAATTTGTTGCAGCTGAGGAGATCAGTAGCTGAGACTGCCACACCTACCATTCCCGGGAGATGTAAGCCTCTGTCTTCACCCACCAGTATACTGGAAGAAGCACGGGCAAGGTACAACCAATCAGGATACTACATCAATTAGAGCAATGATCACAACACTTCATTTCATTATACTTACCTCAAAACTTCATTTATTAGACCAATACATGTGCTTCTGTATTCTAAAGTTGAAAGAGTACACTAGATTTAAGCTTTGATATTTTTATTGACAGGTTGCATGTGTCAGCAGTACCAGATTCACTTCCATGCCGTGATAAGGAATTTGACGACATCTACAGCTTTGTGGAGAGTAAAATTCTGGATGGCACAGGAGGGTAAGTAATCGAATCATTATTAGTTCCTCATCACAGTGATATTGTGGTCAATCCCTCGTCTTGGTCATGATGACAGTTCCTCCAGTAATTAGTTATATTTGTACTTGGTTTTTCATTGGTGTAAATATCCAGTATTGTAACGGTTTTTCATTGGTGTAAATATCCAGTATTGTAACAAGTTTTAATTGTCCACCTAACTGATGAGGTGATTGTTTTTGTACCTGATTTTTCATAGGTGTATGTACATCTCTGGTGTTCCGGGGACAGGGAAGACAGCAACTGTACGCGAAGTTACTCGGGCCTTGCAGCAGGCATGTGATGATGGGGAACTGCCATACTTCAAATACATTGAGATAAACGGCATGAAGCTGACAGAACCCCGACAGGCCTATGTACAGATCCTCAAGGTTAGCAGTACCTACTTGGAAACACTACTAGTGTACACTTGCTTGGCAAGAGATTTAACGTTTGTGATTTTGGGAATTCATATTCCTCATATTTTATTGCACTTCCAGTAAAAGAAGGCCTAAGAACCCCATAATTGAGAAAAGAAGATGTGAAATCAGTCATGTTTTTATTATTATTCTTTTGATTATTTAATTAATAGAAGAAGTTTAACAATAATAAAAAGATAGTAAAGAATTATGTCAGTTAATCTTGACACATTTATCATGCTATTGTTAGTGATTAACAAAATTAACACTTAACAAAAACAGTTGAAGATGGTTTTAAAAGTAGTGTATTATTCAGCCAATTTGTTATATCTGCATTTAGGCTATTCCAGAAATAATACTTACCCGTACATGTATTTATACCTAGAATAGACCTTAGCAACTGTCTAGTAGTTTCCATGGTCAATTATTGGAAAGACAAGGTTTTCACCTTGGATGCTTAAAATGTTTTGTTTTTGATAGGCTTTGAAATAAAGTTTTGAATGTCAAAGAAAAATAAAATTGAACACGTTCAGCAAGGAAACTAATCTTTGAGCTTAAAAAAATAGAAATACATTCATATTTCCAAGACTTGTGTTGTAAGATAAAACTTTTTCGAAGGAAATGATTTAAAATGAAAAAGATTTGTGGATTACATTTTCACTAGATTACTGGCTGATTTTTGTGATGGTGTTGCTTGTAATGTTGTTTAATGCATGCTCACCAACGTTGAATCTCCCTATTTAGGAGAAAGAATCCTCAGCGAGGGGAATTTGCTAAACTATTCAGATTTCTAAGATATTATGATTTCATCGGAAGGAACAAATCAAAATAAGTCATTGGAAGGACTATTTTATCTTGAGGGGAGTATATACACACTTTTTATGTATAAGTTAACTTTAAGAATGCAGTCTCCCTCATGGAAATTTCAAAAAGTTGGCAATTATGTTAATGTCCGGGACAACTCTAAACATTAAAACATAGTTAGGATGTTGTTTACTGACAAATTGTCTAATAATTAAGTTTTCACATTTCAACAACAAACTGACTCTGTCACACTGCAAACATGTAACTGCCTAACAAAAATGATTCTGCATTAAGTTTGTACTGGTATTGAATTCCATTATTTTTTCCTTTCGATGTTATAGCAATTAACGAAACAGAAGGCCACCCCTGACCATGCAGCAGATCTCCTCAACAAACAGTTCACTACACGAGGCCCAAGGAAGGAAACTGTCGTTCTCCTGGCAGACGAGGTGGGTAACATAAATCATGATTGATTTTCAAATTCTATCCTTAGAAAATTGTCCAGTAATTGGTCATTAAAAGATTTATTTTAGCTTGAAACATTTCTTTAAACAAAACAGAATGATGAAACATTTAAAATATATGATGGAGTATTTTGACTGCTATACTCTCAAAGAATATATTTTATAAAATTGTGTGAATAGCTTTAAAATGCCGCCATAGAGATTTTTAAAAAGTTTACTGGCCCTCAGACTTCAAATTTATGACACGAGTCCGGGAATTTAAAGGCAGCTCACACAATTGAATTGCTGCTTCTGTAACATTCTTCTAGGGATTTTACTCCAGAATTAGAGCTAGCGTAAAGAGAGAATATGACTTAACACCACACAAAAACAGTAAATATTGCCATTGTTAGGAATCAATTTTAATTTGTTACTTTTCACAGAACATAAAAGTGTAAATATGTATTGTTTGTAAGATCAAGGTATGTCCTTGAACTTTAAAGAAAAACGCCCTGAAAAACTTGATAATTGTGTCAAAATTTATATTTAAACAATAAGCGAATTATCTCTTTTCTGGCAATCCCCATGCTGGTTCCGATCAACTTTTCACGTAGTTTCCATTATCACTACTACCTGTTTTGGGATAATGTAAGCTTTGGTGTCTGTGAGAAGTGACGTAGTCAGGTAACTATGTTTCTGTTCCATAGCCACGGTAACTGGGTTGCAGTATAGGTTTCTGGTTACTAATGGTGGTAACTTATGTGTTTTCTAGCTTGACCTGCTGTGGACACGGAAACAGGATGTGATGTACAATATATTTGACTGGCCGTCACACCCTCATGCTCGCCTTGTCGTCCTGGCTGTGGCCAACACAATGGACCTTCCGGAGAGAATAATGATGAAGAGAGTGTCCTCACGCTTGGTAAGAGTTTCTGAAGAGAAATAGAATAAAGTCTGTGGAGGAATGTCTGGAAAAACTAGGTTCTGACCATCTGACCAGATTGTCATTTTGTATAAATCTGGTTCTGACCTGATCATCATTATGATCTTTTCATGGGTGGGGCATATTGTGGTGCCTATGAGTCACTCCCATCCCATTGCGATTCTTTGTCACACGTCTACCAACTTAAAAGATTTTCATCAAATTTTATACAAAGGTTCAGTATGAGAATGCCTTCAATGAGTTTGTATTTCAGGGACCAAAGGTCGCTTGCTAATTATGGATCAGCCACAGGGTGAAAAGAGCATTCATATCTGGCAGACAATTTGTTGTTCTGTATTATCCAGGGTATTGTGATCAGGTTATCTTTCTGTATAAACCAGGGTCCCACCAGATAATCATTCTGTATAAACCAGGGTCTCACCAGATTATCATTCTGTATAAACCAGGGTATCATTCTGTATAAATCATGGTCTCACCAGATAATCATTGTTTGTAAACTAGGGTCTCACCAGATTATCATTCTTTGTAAACTAGGGTCTAACCAGATTATCATTATTTGTAAACTAGGGTCTCACCAGGGTATCATTCTGTATTAACCAGGCTATCATTCTATATTAACCTGCAGAGTCTCACCAGATTATCATTCTTTGTAAACTAGGGTCTTACCAGATTATCATTCTGTATAAACCAGGGTCTCACCGGATTATCATTCTGTATAAACCAGGGTATCATTCTTTGTAAACTAGGGTCTCACCAGATTATCATTATTTGTAAACTAGGGTCTCACCAGGGTATCATTCTGTATTAACCAGGGTCTCACCAGATTATCATTCCGTATTAACCAGGGTATCATTCTGTATTAACCTGCAGGGTCAAACCAGATTATCATTCTTTGTAAACTAGGGTCTTACCAGATTATCATTCTGTATAAACCAGGGTATCATTCTGTATATCAGGGTCTCACCAGATTATCATTCTTTGTAAACTAGGGTCTCACCAGATTATCATTCTGTATAAACCAGTGTCTCACCAGATTATCATTCTTTGTAAACCAGGGTCTCACCATGCCAGATTATCATTCTGTATTGACCAGGGTATCATTCTGTATTAACCTGCAGGGTCTCACCAGATTATCATTCTTTGTAAACCAGGGTCTTACCAAGATTATTATTCTGTATAAACCAGGGTCTTACCAAGATTATCATTCTTTGTAAACCAGGGTCTTACCAAGATTATCATTCTGTATAAACCAGGGTCTTACCAAGATTATCATTCTTTGTAAACCAGGGTATTACAAGATTATCATTCTGTATAAACCAGGGTGTCACCAGATGAACATTCTTTGTAAACCAGGGTCTCACCAGATAAACATTCTTTGTAAACCAGGGTCTAACCAGGATGACTTTCCAGCCCTACACTTTCCGGCAACTCCAGGAAATAGTTGTGTCTAGGATGAAGAGTCTGAAAGCATTTGATGACGATGCTATTCAATTAGCGGCGAGGAAAGTGGCTGCTGTCTCTGGAGATGCTAGGAGAGCACTAGACATATGTCGCCGGGCAACAGAAATCACAGAGACAATGTCACCCTCCAAAAAGGCGAACATACTTGTCAGTACTTGTCACGTGGATGCAGCTCTTCAGGAAATGTTCTCCTCACCAAAAATAGTCGCTATCAGGTGAGAAGATACAAGTGTAGGATTGTGCTTTGAAAGATGAAAACATGTCCATCCCTTTGTCATGCTTTGGTATCCAATTTCCAAGTAGTTCTAGACATTCTGAAATCATACATAACCAAAAAGAACCGTGTTCACCTATGTTAAAAAGTATTATTTCTAAATTGAACTCTTTCTATCATGAGTATTGTCTCAGACTCCTGGTTTAGATGTACCTTATAAACTACATGTCTGATTCTTACTGTCTCTGTACATCACTTTGAGACTATTTTAAGGAAACTGTTCAAATGTGCTAGATTAATGACTTGTTTGATTTTGCTGGGTACTTTGCCAGAGACCTAATATTGTTGTAGATGTCTGACATTGTATTTATATCCTCAGGAGCTGTGCGATACAGGAGAAATTGTTTCTGAGAGCCATTGTGGCAGAGTTCCATCGAACGGGTTTGGAGGAAGCAGAATTTGCCAAGCTCTACTCACAACATATCTCCCTCTGCAGATTTGATGGTTAGTTCTTTCCATCTTTTCTTTGGTAGAAATTCAGGTAAAACACAGGTAACTAGAAACTGAAATCTGGAAAACTATTCCAGAGATTTCTGATCATTACAATATAATCAATGTATTAGTTTTTTGTTGTAAAACAATTTGTTTCAAAGCCTTTTTTATTAAATTGGGAAAGCACATTACTTCATAATAAGCCTTGAGTGTAGAACCACTCATATGAATAAAATAAGGTATTCCAAGACAAAACACCTGAAGGTAAATTTTTGCAAGCCATGAGGTACACTGGAACATCATAGAGGTAGGGTTTACACCGATGCTGTTTCCGAAGAGATTGTCGTCTTGAATTTTAAATGCATTTCTGGTAAGACACCAGTCAAGCAAGTGATACAAAAAAAGATGGTTTTAATAAATCTGACAATTTAGAAAAACCCAAACTTTTAGGCCAAAATACTTACATAATAACTCAATCAAAATCCTCTTTGTTCATAATGGTCTTTCTATGGAAAATAACACTCCATGAAAAAAAATGAAATATTAATCATGAAATGTTCAACTTAAGTGATGGGGATATCAAATATTCTGATTATAAATTTCTGTATTTGGATGGTAATCTACATTGTCTATTTCATTGACCGTGTAATTATATGGTTCAGTGTACATCCATTGCTCTCTTGGTTTTTAAATGAAATAAATTTTCTTGTTTGTACTGATAGGAACTTAAATCATAAATCTGTTAGGTTATTTAATTATTTACGGGTAACAATTTTGTTTTCAGATCTACAACCACCATCTACATCAGAACTAGCAGGAATGTGCTCCAGGCTAGGAAGTATAAGACTGCTTCTCGTAGAACATGGACGCAACGACCTTTTTATGAGAGTTAGGCTTAATGTTAGTCAGGATGATATCTTGTACGCTTTGAAGGAAAAGAGTGGTGTATGAGATCTACATTAGGAACACCGGACAACACTACTTCGACAAGTGAAGAGAAAACCATGACAAACAAGAACTAAACTAATACAGTGTGTTCCTTAAAAAAAATCTGTTTAAAATAGGTCAACCTGACAATTTGTGAATTATTTTGAGATTGATATAAGCCTAATGTAATGTTTCAGGGAAAAGTAAGGATGTGTTCAGATTAATGTTGGCAATATATGTAGTTTACCTGTGGCTGTTTCAGAGAAAGGGAAATAATGCAGTGTTCGTTCACTGTCAGCATTTCATGTAGTCTAGAATTGTTCCAAGTTTTAAAATTTACATTGAAGCTTGATTTTACAACATTCATTGTGACCAACATAGAAATTCAACCCAATTATTCCAGATACTGTTCTAGTAGATTTACGAAACATATAAATACATTAACAAGATATATATTTAATATTCATTCCTTAGTTCAGAAAACCCCAGATCTAGAGTAAAACATTTGTTTAAAAAACATGCGAGGACCTTATTTTGTAAAGTTTCATTATCTGATCCGATATCGGTCACAAATGTCTCCTTTCAAATAATAACATGAAATCTAACATGGCTGAATTTTTAAATGCATGAGTCAATATTTAACTAGTTTTATAAAATCTGAGCTAGAGAGTTTCACATGTTAAACAAGTTTATATAACTTAACTTATATTTTTTCATGATTGTAATATATATTTTAAAGAATAAATGCAGTAATTTAAATTGAATGAATGTTAATTTTAAAAGGTATGAAGTAGAGATTTTAGTGTTGAAAGGTCATAAGGTCATATCAAATTGTAAATAAATACATGTAGTAGAATTTATAGAATTCATAAAATGTTCAATATTACCACAAATATTCAAATAATAATTTTAATCAGACATTTTTTTAAACCATTGAGGATGAATTTTCAACACCTTTTAATATTTACATTTTGGGGTAGGTCTATTTTACATTTCAAAAATAATCAAACAAGTCTTTTAAATGCATCTGGTCTTCAAAAGACTTTTCATCATTAATGCGGATCTTTTTAAACTTTATAATTTGTTACTTTTTTGTTATTCAATAAAGACTTTTACATTAATGCTTGTTGTTGTTTTGGTTTTGTAACAATTGAAAGATGAGAATGATATGTTTCAGAACATTATGTCAATAATAAAGACACATTCTTTTAATCCCAATTTTGGGTCCGTCATGATTTCACTTCACCAACAATCTGTTTCATGTACTACCATTTATTGTCGAGAAAGAAAACTAAGAAGAAACCACACCCCAAATTATAGACCTATTGTCATCTTTCAAACTTGATATAAAGAAGACATGGGACAGAAAAAGATTTAATGTATTCATATTAAATTCTTGCTTGACATAATAGTTGCTTCTACCATGTGTAATCTATCATTAGAAACCATGACATTTGACAGGGTTATATCAAGCCAAACAAATTGATACAAGTTAAATGGCAGAACTTGTCAAGAGTGACAAATTTGTGTCTTCATCAACCCAAGAGTTTGTCGGACATGATTCTCCTAACTTCTCTGCTGGGCAGAGAAAAGGACCCTTCCTACCTCTCATTTATTAGCTCACCGGGTCCATAGGACCAAGGTGAGCTTATGCCATACCGTGGCGTCCGTCGTCCGTCCGTCAACAATTTCTTTAAACGACTTCTTCTTCTTAACCACTTATTGGAATTTAACTAAATTTGACTGGAAGCATCCCTAGGTGGTGGGAATTCAAAATTGGACAAATGATGGGGCTGAGGGGCAGGGCAATGAGGGGGCAATTTGGCTACATTGCTTTAAGCGACATCTTCTCTGGAACTAAGAGATGGATATCAACCATATTTAATTGGAAGCATCCCTAGGTGGTGTGGATTTAAAATTGTACAAATGGTTGGGCTGAGGGGCAGGGCTAAAAGGGGGCATTTTGACTATATTGCTACAAACGACTTCTTCTGTAGAACTATGCACTGGATATCAATCATATTTAATTAAAAGCATTCATGGGAGGCAGGGATTCAAAATTGTACAAATGATGGGGCTGAGGGGCGGGGCCAAAAAGTGTTATTTAGCTATATCGCTTTAAGCGACTTCTTCTCTGGAACTAAGAGATAGATATCAACCATATTTGACTGGAAGCATCCCTAGGTGGTGAAGATTCAAAATTGTACAAATGGTGGGGCTGACCCCCCAGGGGGCTGAGGGCTGGGCCAAAAGGGGGCAATTTGGCTATATTGCTATAAACGACTTCTTCCGTAAAACTATACCATGGATATTGATCATATTTGGTGGGAAGCATTCATGGGAGGCAGGGATTCAAAATTTTTTTTTACTTGGAAATGGTTGAGATCCCCACCATATAACCATATATACAATTGCTGAGTATAACGAGCGGAATGCACATTTGCTTCCAGTCTTGCCCCACCCTTGTAGACTTAACCTCTGGGTTATAACTTTGAAACGGTTAAGATCCCCACCCCAAAACTATATATCCAATTGTTGGGCATAAAGAGACGAATGCAGTCATGATATTAGAATTGACCCAAGGGTCTGCCCCCCCCTTGCAGACATAACCCCTGGGTCATAACTTTGAAACGGTTGAGATCCCCACCCCAAAATTATATATACAAATGCTGGGCAAAAAGAGACAAATGCAGTCATGATATTAGAATTTATCCTGGGGTCTGGCCACAACCCTAGGGACCTAGTTTCTGAGTCACAGCTTGGAAACAGTTGAGATCCCCACCCCATAACCATACATAAAATTGCTGGGCATAAAAAATCAAATATAGATATGCTACAAGGATTGGCCTTGAGGTCTGGCATATTCCCTTGGATCTCATTTGGAGAATATTTTGCCATGATTGCTTAGATATCCAGGTGAGCGATACAGGCCCTCTGGGCCTCTTGTTGAAAGCAAAAAGGGGTCAATGTTTTTAAAATTTGCAAATAGTACTTTTGTTTATACATGACGTATATTTTTATGCTGTACATTAAATGACAACTCATCACAAAAACAATACAAGAGGCCCAGAAGGCCTGTATCGCTCACCTGGATTTGTTTAAAGTACTTTATATGAGGTTAAGATATAGCACTCCTTGGTAGGTACTGTATGTGCATATGAAATTTCAGAAGGATCCATCAAGTATTTCTGGAGATATAGTAAGAACATACTTCAAATGTCAAAATCCGAAATGGCGGCCTGGTGGCCATCTTGTTTTAATGAATACACCCCAAGAGTAACAGGCACTACTAGACAACTTGGTGATGACAAAATTGGGATAAAATATTGGAATCCCTGTGGTAGAAGAAGGATTTTAAAGGTTTTACCTCTATTTCCCCTGTTGGGCCCCGCCCTTCTGCCTCCGTTTATATAAAATTGAGAGCCCTTACTCCAGACCAAATTTAGTTAAAATCCACTAAGCTGTTCAGGACTAGTAGCGTTTTAAAGGCCCATGGCATAAGCTTGCTTGCCCTTCGGGCAGGTGAGCAAAAACCGTCCAATTACATCTCAAACCAGTAAATATCCATCAGTACAATTAACATGCATGATATCATGCCATTGGCTGTACCAGGGGTCATTTGGGAACATGGAGCCTAGACTGATTCATCTACTAAAGCCTTTCAGACCTTTAATGTACATCAAGAGATATGTAATAGCTTGCCAGAAACTCACCACTTGGTCTATCCATATATCATCACAAATCACTTCAAATCTTTGGATAACAAAAAACCTTCCAAAACACGTTTATTCTATATGAAAATAATACATGTATACATGCAAACAAAGTAACTCGTTTTCAATATATTGTAAATTGCTTCTTCCTAAATTTCCCTGATGATCAATGTATCACCACAAGTTTTGTAAAAAAAAAAGCATTGTCTGCACTATATTGCTTCTGTATGTCTTTGTTCTTGATTACTTTATTTTCTTCATCTGGAACCAAAAAAAAATAGAAAATTGTTATGATATGGAATAAGTATTATTTGTATATCACTAATAACCTCTGAATAAAGCTTCATAAAAGGAAATTCATAGCTCTAAATGAGACCTCAAAATACCACATTTTTTCAAATTTGCCTCTTTCCATCTTGTATGTAATGTAATATACACTGTTAATACATATTTTCACTTACACCAGCCTGCATACATTCTTTAAGTAACAGAAATTCCTTTTCACATTCTGCTTTCTTGATGGTGCCTTTTGCTGCTACACATTTACCATATGCTGCAGCCTGCAAAAGTAAAACAGTTAAAAAAAAAAATTGTATTCCTGTAATATAAATATGTCAAGGTATTGAAAAGGTGAGACTGTCCCAACAGAATTTTACAAGGAGAAAAGTACTGTGAACTGTACATGCTAAAGCACTGGCTCTTTTGTGTCTTTCGAGATAAAAAAAAACAAAAGAAAAACAAAAAAAAAACTCATTGCTGATTAGAATGTGAAAATCGACCTCAAATGAAGTATAATCCATAGAGTTTATTAGATCTTCAAAGGATTTTTACTTAGTTCTGTGTGTCACCGATTTCAGTTACATGCTTTCAAATTTACTTCAATTAAGGTTGTTCATGCATTTCGGGCCAGAGGCATTGGTACAAGTAAATGCATCTGTTTATAAATGATGGCTAGGCAATTGTAACAAAAAGGTTTTCTAAAAGATGATAAAAAATACAAAATGACCAATTAGTCAACTTTTCAAATAGAAAGCCTAGCCTGTGGTCACCAATTTCTGTCTCGGTTTCATCCATCACAGTTTGGTTTGTTTTTTCCACTTACAAAAAAACATTATCTATGTAGTGTATGTTTTGGTTGTTTTCCACTTACAGAAAAAAACTATTATGTATAAAGAGTACAATTTAGTCTTAAACAACTACATATGACCCAACTGGTGAACTAATTTTTATTGTTGGCCGATCCAACTTGAGACGTAACACAAGGACTAATAAGTGATTTTTATGACATTTAGCTCGCTGCAACATCTTGGTTTAACTATGCCTTAATTTAGCTCCATCTCTGTTATCATAAATATCCTACTATCATCAAACTTATATATATACAGATAAGTCTTCAGGAGTACGTCACCATCATGTGGCATGTATATATACGTAGGTCACTGTGACCTATATTCTCATCTTCACATACTTGGTTATACTTTAATACAAGGGGTGACTATGCCTGCACAATGCTAATATTAAGCAATATTTAAAAGGGAGATAACCAAATTTGAAATCAACTATGTCTAGCATATGACCTTAAGTTTCACAAATGTGTACGACTACATAGGGAATATAATTCCTGTCTGGCTCATCGACGCTGACTTATAACTACATACAGAACTAACAGTTTAGGCTCAGTATAGAAGTTATATAAATTTTATCTACAAAATTACAAGTACCTGTGTGACTCGGAAAGTATTGACTTCAATTTCTTGTCCGACAAAGTCGGTAACTACTTACCACAACATGATCAGTATATGAAACCTACCTGTCCCGAGCATCCCATCAGAGCCTGAGAGTACTTTAGGACCCTCTGTTTGGGTACCTCGACCGGCATGGTGTTGTTTAGACGGTCATCCGTTCATCAAGGGAGATAACTCGTGTCATAACATAACCAAACTCATATCTTCATCTGTTAGACTTCCTCCGACGATTACGGAAGTATCTCCCGATACGTTCTGGTCCAACTCATAAATCTACCTAACTTGAAGTTTATGCTGAACAATTGTTTATTATGATGTAAACGCTTTATTTTCGCGGTTATATTTAGTGAACTGTCAGTTACAAATCAGGAAAAACGTTCTGCACAACAGACGAAGAGAAAACTCTTAATCGTTGAAATGTTTGTCTCAAACACATGGGTACATTCGCGTTACCGGTTGAAACGGTTGAACCGGTTGAACCTGTAAAGAAAACGACAGGTACAGATTTGGACCGAGGCTGACCTCAGGAAAATTTGGTACGTGTAGATTGAGGGGTCCAGACGTACCTGGCCGAAACTAAACTGCTTAATATTGCTAGTTTGCGTTATTTCTTTCTAAAACAATGTCAAGCCACATGTATTTTTTAAGATACGTTATGTAATTTAGTGGACGCGTGAGAGAAGGGCATAATATTCTTGATACATTGTTTATTATTCTCCGAAACTGTGGATTTTTAGCTCTGCTTATAGAACGGTTCAAGTGTGTTCGTTTATCGTGGAAAATTTCTGCGCCACACGTACCGTTTCAACCGGTAACGCGAATGTAGCCATGTAGGATAACATTCAAGCGTCATAGTGACATGTGTCAAAACATACCCTTTCGTCATTTTCGAGGCTGCATTTTCTACGAATGAAAACATTGACTGCACAAACATGGCAACTGCTGCAGATTCAGGTGTACGCATCAACGGAGGATGGTCAGCGCACTTGGCTGACAATTTACAAGAACAAAATGACGAGGTATCATTACAACAAATATTTGATATTGTAACGGATGCGTGTACTGCTATATAAGCTTACTAGTAGGCCTAACGTGTTATAACAAACAAACAAACAAACAAAAATCCCTCTGTGTATTGTCGAAAGAGTAGGCGCGTTAACGCCGACACAAAGGATAGGGATAGATTAGAATACAATTATTCCCGACGATTCGACGGACTTCCAAAATATAGAAACAAAACCAAACACAAAATAGAGTAGGATAAAAATAAAGGACAGCTGGATACGATACGCCCTCCTCCAAGACCAAAGCCATGATATGATACGACCGGTGATCTCCCCATCCTTTTTTATATAAGAAAAATTCCAATAAGACACATATAGTATAAGCCCAACAACTTATAGACCCCCATAAGACCATTTACTAACAACCATTTTTTTTTTTATATATTTTCTTAAAAAGACATACACCAAAGAATTAAGGGTAAATATCTGCATACACCATAGGGACCCCTCGGATAATCTCAAACTCTGGCCAAGTCTGACAAGGAAACAAAGTACTGTACCTAACGGAAGCAGAGACGTTTCTCTGCTGTCGGGCACAACCGGCAGTAAGAGACCCGAGGTACATAACAAATATAATATATATACCTCCCTATAAGAACAGGAATATATGCAATAAATACACTTTAAAATAAACAAATATTTTTATTTTTTATGTACATATATACATTAATATAAGCCACATTGGCCAATTTCGAAATCCCCTCAACGACACAAATACATTAGTAAGGATCAACAATTACAGATACATCATCCGGCACGACACACCATTTCGGACCAAGGAGTCGTCTCCAAATTACACCACAAGATAAGGATAGGATAGAATAGACGACTCCAAACCACCTCTCGAGGGAAGGCAACTTCCCTCACGCCGACTGAACACTGACTTCCGTCAGAGAGATGAAACCTGTAAGGGCGGATTCATGTAGGCGCGAAACCCGTCATCCATCCATCCATCCTATAACAAAAAAGGTATAAACAGGTGTCGACACTAACACTACTGTACAGTAGGACACTAGCCTAAGCCTGGGCCGTTTTTGTTTAGAAGTTAAACCGGTCGGACGTAGTAATCTGATGCTGCTTTCAGGCGAGCCTTGACAAAGCCTTGCAAGGCCTAGCCTGCATAAACATTTGCAGGTCCACCAGGATTAATATCCGAAATTGTCACATTTATAAACGGACAAATTAAACCGGTTGTTCCGTTTAACGAACAGGCCCTTGGACATCACCTTACCTAACTAGTCGTTTGGACTTTTGAAAAATATGATAATAAACCAAGAATAGTCCCTTTTAAAATTTAGAAAACTGCTTGAAATAAGATATATCGCCAATTTTTTCTTAAAACTTCACCATATTGTTATGGGAGTAGTTCTATCTATCTATATGTTATACTCCACAGAAGACCAAAATGGCTTTAATGCGGAGGGGGATTTTAAGGCCCCTGGGACTGTCCCCTACTTTTGATGTTTTGTGCTGTAGTCTAGATCGGAATGTTTCCCTAATAACAGGAAATCTGGGACTAGTTACGTTGACAAAGGACTAGTAAATAATCAATTCAATTAGTCCTGTGGACTACCAAGCAAAAAAAGTTAGTGTCTAACCCTGGACTATTTACATAATAATGACCGTCTATCTAACTCAATAACTATATCCTAATAATTCAAATAATTATTGCCTCAAATCACTACTGCCTAAACTACACCCGGTAGATATTTTACATTTATTACACTATAACACTAATATAGTTTTGTGGAAAACCAAGAACTGATTTATAATTACAGAGCCAAACTTTTAATATGAACTTAAATCAAAATTTAACAGAACTTATAACTGTCTATATTATTTATATTACATTGTATATTTTTTTTTACATCATTAGAATTAATATGTACTGTGTTCTGTATGATTTTGGGTCCGGTTAAGAGGATTGTTCAAATCCTGTATCGGAATGAACTTAACTTAATAGTCAAAAACTCAACTTAACAACTGTATCACAACATATCCATCACCCTGTATCAAAAGTAAGTAGCCCCTAACTGCGACACCCTTGACTGTGTACATATCCTTTACCCTATATAGTCTTGATAAAATCTGTGTCTAGGTACCTGTCACTCTGTATCTATCAACAGTACCTCGTCCTGTACTGTGATACCCTGTGACTATGTACATTACCCAGCGATACAATTTATTTTGACAATAAACTATAAAGGAGTACCGTGGAACCCTAACTTATTCAGCTAGGCCCAAACTTATTTAAGCTTGTTCACTATTTTAGAGATGTTCTTTCCACTTCGACCGCCAAAGTAAGAGCGAGCTTTTCATCTTGATTTTGATGGTTTTACGTCCGCTATTACGGCCTTGCAGCCTTTCAGCAGACGAGAAAAGTTAGAAAAATTGGAAAATAGAAGTATGTAGAGAAAGGATCGGAAGGGAGAATGTAGAGGTGGAGGAGATCTGAGTTGTCTGTCCTATATGTCCTACACAGGGATGTTATAATTGCATAAGACGACTCCTGGGCAGAAAAATGGTTTAGCTTTTCATCTGATGGAACATCTATTTATATACCTAGCCATCTTACGAAATGCCTTCTTTTATTAGCCAATTAAAACTACTCTTACTCCCAAAACCCAAAGAAATAACTAAAGCAAGTCTAATATACTATAGATCATTTATTGAATAATATAATTAACAAAGAATCAACCACTTCAATATGGAAAACCGGTCACAGGGCCATGACAATATATAAGTCATGAAATGTATAGGGAGCTACAGAAGGCCTATCCTGTCTTTCTTTTCAGTGGTGTTTCCTTAGCCACCTGTCTTCATATGACATCAGCTGTTGCAAGGGCGTTTAACCCCAAACAAGCCAAACAAACATTGCCAAAGACAGCACTATTTACAGGTTCAGGTATCCTCTTGCAAAGTATGCATACACCCAGTATTTTGAACAAGGGTTGGTCAGAGTCACCACTGTAATGGAAAAAGAAAAATTAACGACCAGACCAGGGTTCAAAACCAGGGCCTCTGAACTACAGACACTCTAACATATTGAGCTGCTTTGTTGCCAGCGACTGAACCAGTCAGATTCCACTACATTCCTTCCTCCTTTTACTAAGTCTTTGCCCCAGAGTACAACACCATTAACAACCCAGCTTCGGTGCTCCCTTCACAAGTGTATGTCCAGTCCTTGAAACAAGGATTGGTAACAGCTACCAATAAATCAGTTTGGTATTGTCGCTATGATTTCTCTGGTAACCCAAATTTGGGCAATATGGCTAGGTTAAAAATAGGAACAACTCAAATTTATTACAGAATTGCCCTGTGAAACAACAACAACAACCACTTTCAAAGTGCATTTCTGTGATAAATTTGTGTTTCACAGTGTTTCTTCATTCTCTTTTGTATGGAGTTTCTGTAAACTTTTGAGATTAAATCCCAAAAAATATATTGATAGGTTAATTGCTTGAGGATTAATTGTTACAGGAAAGTGTAGTTCTGGGCAAAGTGTTAATTTGTACATATGTTATACAAGTTATACGTGTTGGATACATGTAAATAGATTTGTGTTTATGGTATACAAGGTATACGTGTTGGATAGATGTATATAGATTTGTATTTTTGTTATACAAGTTATCCGTGTTGGATACATGTAAATAGATTTGTGTTTATATTATACAAGTTATACATGTATATAGACTTGTGTTTATGTTATACAAGCTATACGCGTTGGATACATGTATATAGGTTTGTGTTTATGTTATACATGTTATACGTGTTTGATACCTGTATATAGATTTGTGTTTTTGTTATTACCAGGTACTTGCATTAGAAGCCATTTTTGAAGGCGAGGAGTATATAGATTTGTGATTTTGTTATACAAGTGATACGTGTTGGATACCTGTATATAGATTTGTGTATATGTTATACAAGTTATCCGTGTTGGATACATGTATATAAATTTGTGTTTATGTTATACATGTTATACGTGTTTGATACATGTATATAGATTTGTATTTTTGTTATACAAGTGATACGTGTGGGATACATGTATATAGATGTGTGTTTTTGTTATACAAGTTAACGTGTTGGATACATGTAGATAGATTTGTGTTTATGTACTTATGTTATACAAGTGATACGTGTTGGATACCTGTATATAGATTTGTGATTTTGTTATACAAGTGATACGTGTGGGATACATGTATATAAATTTGTGTTTATGTTATACACGTTATACGTGTTGGATACCTGTATATAGATTTGTATTTTTGTTATACAAGTGATACGTGTGGGATACATGTATATAAATTTGTGTTTATGTTATACACGTTATACGTGTTGGATGCATGTATATAGATTTGCGTTTATGTTATACAAGCTATACGCGTTGGATACATGTATATAGTTTTGTGATTTTGTTATACAAGTGATACGTGTTGGATACCTGTATATAGATTTGTGATTTTGTTATACAAGTTATGCGTGTTGGATACATGTAGATAGATTTGTGTTTATGGTATACAAGGTATACGTGTTGGATAGATGTATATAGATTTGTATTTTTGTTATACAAGTGATACGTGTTGGATACAAGTATATAGATTTGTGGTTTTGTTATTAACAGGTACTTGCATTACAATCCATTTTTGAAGGCGAGGAGTATATAGATTTGTGATTTTGTTATACAAGTGATACGTGTTGGATACCTGTATATAGATTTGTGATTTTGTTATACAAGTTAAACGTGTTGGATACATATATATAGATTTGTGTTTATGTACATATGTTATACAAGTTATCCGTGTTGGATACATGTAGATAGATTTGTGTTTATATTATACAAGTTATACATGTATATAGACTTGTGTTTATGTTATACACGTTATACGTGTTGGATACATGTATATAGATTTGTGTTTTTGTTATTAACAGGTACTTGCATTACAATCCATTTTTGAAGGCGAGGAAAACAGACTGACTGTATTTTCCACAGCACCAGATGAAATTCCTGACAGTGAAAATTGCAAGGAAAATTCCAGATTATACCAGCTTCAGGTAGACTATAAAAGATCTTTATGGTGAACCCTGGGGAGCTTAGAAGTTTAAATTATTTCTTTACCGTAAACTACAATAAAGTTAAGAAATTAGTTCTCCTCGGTAAAACATGCTTATAAGTAATATATGGGGGGGGGGGGGGGGGGGGGGGAGCATAAGTTCATTTTTTAGTGAAATATCTTGATAACAAAATCCAGTAAAGTGAAGACATTGGTTCTAACTTCAACATGATGGTAATACATGTTTATAACAAATTCCGGGAGACCTAAGCAATTAGTTGTCTATGGTCAAACATGTTTATAACAAATTCCGGGAGACCTAAGAACTTAATTCACTGTGTAAAGCATATTTATAACATTTATATACAAATGTTAACAGTGAGACTTGAAGGTCTGGTATATAATAGGTGTCTTCCATAAAATGTACTTCCCCCTGACTGATGCAGGTCAGTACCCTACAACCTGATATTTTTACCTGGTACATCCATGTTCACATAAAACGCAAGTTTCGATAAGTGCTATGGAAATGCAGAACACATTGTTTCTGGCTGTATTGAGAATTTTCACTTTTAAGGTTGATTGAATGGGAACATTTGTCTAGAAGTCTAATTACATTTCATTTTAATGCTTAACATGTAAGGAAAGTGAAGTTTCATTATCAATAATTTGAGCAAAAAACTTTCAGAAATTACAAAGTATATGGATGAATGAAAGGATTAAATAAATAGAGAGAAACAGACTGAAATATGAATATTGTGAGATATAATTTTTCTGTATGACTACAGCTACAAGTGCCTGTAAAGCAGGATGCTGCTAAAGTGACAATAGACATTTGCATGCCCTTCAGAGAACCAATGGACAGCACAGAACAAGATTCCAAAGTACAAAATCCTGGAGCTGTCGACTACAAACGATCAGATTCAGGTAAAATATTAGTGTTTACGTAGTAATTATCATTGGCTTGTTTTTGTTTTAATTCCATTGCCAGTTTTTAGGTCACCTGAGCTTTAGCTCAAGTGACCTATTGCTATCCGTTTCCGTCCGTCGTCGTCCGTCGTCCGTCGTCCGTTAACATTTTACATTTCAAACTTAAAGTCAAGTTCTGCTGGACCGATTGAACTGAAAGTTGGTAGGAATGATCGCCTCATGGTCCTGACAAAGTGTTGTTATTTTTCGGGTCGATCAGAAATCCAATATGGCCGCCACAGCCACCATTTTGAAAACCTATTTCAAACTTAAAGTCAAGTTCTGCTGGACCGATTGAACTGAAAGTTGGTAGGAATGATCGCCTCATGGTCCTGACAAAGTGTTGTTATTTTTTGGGTCGATCAGAAATCCAATATGGCCACCACGGCCGCCATTTTGAAAACCTATTTCAAACTTAAAGTCAAGTTCTGCTGGACCGATTGAACTTAAAGTTTGTAGGAATGATCGACTCATGGTCCTGACAAAGTGTTGTTATTTTTCAGGTCAATCATAAATCCAATATGGCCGCCACGGCCACCATTTTGAAAACATATTTCAAACTTAAAGTCAAGTTCTGCTAGGCCGATTGAACTGAAACTTTGTAGGAATGATTGACTCATGGTCCTGACAAAGTGTTGTTATTTTTCAGGTCGATCAGAAATCCAATATGGCCACCACAGCTGCCATTTTGGTAAACTATTTCAAACTTAAAGTAAAGATCTACTTGGCCGATTGAACTGAAACTTTGTAGGAATGATCGAATCATGGTCCTGACAAAGTGTTGTTATTTTTCGGGTCAATCAGAAATACAATTTGGCTGCCATGGCCGCTATTTTGCTACTAAGTTCTAATAGGCCGATCTCACTTAAAATTGGTCTAGGAATGATCAGCTCATGGTCCTGACAAAGTTAAATTAACATTATACTATTTTTTACTCAAATTGGTACATATTTCAACAACAAAAATAAATACTGTAGACTCAGGTGACCGTTAAGGCCCATGGGCCTCTTGTTATTGTATTGTTGTGAGTCTATAGGGTTACACTTTATTGAGACCTATAGTTCACCTAGTTTTTATTGATACAGTTGTCTTAAACCATTGTTTAAAGTTTAGTTAGTCCAGATATACCAGTTCAAGATTCTGGATCAGCACAAACAATACAACAACAAAACAAAAACAAAATCTCAGTTAGAATAAATCTAACATCTCTGTTACTAGGTAACAATCTGATGGCATCCATTACACTTTCTCACCTGACACCATTAAATTTGACGGTGATATTTCCTCCGGAGTATCCTGCCTGTGGCCCTCCACAGTTCACCTTGTCTGCGATATGGTTGTCATGGCAACAGTTGGGTGCCTTGTGTGTGATGCTGGATAAATTGTGGGAGGAGTCACCTGGAATGCCAATACTGTATACTTGGATTGATTGGTTGGAGAATAATTCATTCAGGTACATATTTCAAGGTCACTCTCTGTAGCATACTATATTAAGAAAAAAATTGTCATAATTTCATGCTTATCATCCTGGTACTCTTCAGGGATGGAGGTAAATAATAATATGCAATCACACTACTTGCTGTTCATTGATAAATCAATCTTTTAAGGACCCCCGTTCATCTACCAAAAGCTGTAACTACACATTGAAAATCTTGCAGGTCTTTTGTGAGAATTTAATGGATATGAAATAACAAAATATAATCAACAGTGTTCTAACTTCTGAGTGTAAAAGATTAGCAAGGCTAGACCAAAATTTGAACCAGGGACATAAGACTGCTGGACTATCATTGTTACCGACTGAGTTAGCTGGTAAACAGAAGTATGCATGGTCCAACTGTGCTTAAGTTATAGCCAAAATAAAATTAAGGAGAGGCTACTGTACTTAATGTTTAGATTATTTCAAAAACCAAAGCAATATAAAAAATGATATTAAATATCTGACAACATTGGGACAGGGATCCTTAATTTAAGTTTGTCTGCCATGTGCTATCAGATGTTGTCTTATAAAATTGGAGATTTAAAATGTTTTCATATCACATAAAATGGTTGTTAAAGTGTAAAATGTACAAGAAAACCATGCTGAGGTGAGTTGCTGACATTCTTCAGTGTTGATTGAGTATAAGTAGTGTTTTACCCCCAGGCAGAATCGGTCAGATTACATTAGTGACAACACGTTAACATTTCTGAAAGGAGATCTACATGTTCTTGAAACTGGATTTCTTTATTTCATAGCAGATCAATTGTTAAGAAGTTGAGTCCATTGTGATATAAGAACATGGATACTAGTTACTTCTCCTGCATTGAATCTATAAGTTTTTCTTTGAATTGTTTAAGAAATAATATTTCGTGGGAATTTTTTTCTCTCATAAACATGGCTGTTTGAACATTGACTATCCTATTGCCGAGAGCAAGGCCTTGTATATCTTGTTTAAAAGTCAAATGAGACTGAATATTTGAACATTTTGTATTGTATTTCTAGAAATTATTGACTCAAGGCTTTGTTTGAAAAATAACCAGTTTTTGTATTTTCAACCCATACAATTTCCAATTCAAATTTAATTCCCCCAGGTCCTATATTTTATATAGTTGAGAATGTAGCTGGTCACCAACTGGTTCAGAGTCGTTGAAAAGGTATAGGCATTTTTTTCTTATTATGTATGCTTTTCCATCACTCTTTTTATGGTAGGCATGCAGAGAACTTGTAAGATGGAATTTAGTTCAGTATAAGTATTATTTTTTAAGCATCATTTTTTTTTGTAATTTTGGAGAACAGTTTCTTTGACCTTAAAATGATGACATTCCTTTTTGTATTGACCAGTTTCTTAGGCCTGCGAGACCACGTATTGGTGCGAGAGATGAGCCCTGATGATAAGGTTCTTGATGAGAGAGGGCTGCAGGATTGTCTGGACATTGAAGAGGCTGTCACTACCATGATGAGGTATGGGTCATTTTCTGTAATTAAAACAAAACAATTAACAGAACAGTGTTAGACTGGACACTGGTTTCTGGGGAAAATGTTAGGAATTTATAACAAAGTTCTGTGCAAAAGGGATCAGACCAGATTTGTGTATGTTCAAGTATATATTAGTTGACACTTCTGGACAACATCCATTGGGTGTTGTGAGGCTTGCACATGCATAAGGTGGATTTGGGAATATAAAGCCGTGCACATTCACAATTCGGTTTAATACTCTGTTTTCGAACCAGAAATCAAAAAAACAAGATTATTAGGTCTCCTGGTTGATTTGGTGACATTTTAGGTAACTTAAATGTATATTTAGGGTTGAAGGGATGTCTTTGTCTAGTAATTAACTATATATGTGTAATTCAGAGTCCTATTATCAGTCATTCACCATGTAAACATATCTTGTCCTTAAAATAAGCTTGTGCTTGTAATCCTATGGTAAATAAATATTCTGTTAGTGTTAGCAAAATTTACACAACTCTCCTAATTTTCTATTATACTAGATTCTAGAGCTCTCATAATAATCATATATGCTAAAATATACAGAATCAACAAACCTGGAAGTAGTACAAAATAAAATGTCAGTCGAAGGATAGGGACAGTCTTAAGAAACCCTGGACATACTACAGGTCCCGTTACGTTATATTACTCGCTGTCTCTGACACCACATGTACTTTCATGTGGTCACAATGGCTACATAAACACTTGGCAACTGTATAATGATGAAATAGGTTGCTATTTACATCAGAGAAATACATAAACACGGGATACCTGTATAATAGAAAAGGCTGTTGGCTTCATCAGAGAGTTCCGTACAATCATCACTCTGCTGTAGACATCCTGTACTCTGCTTATGAAAAAGAAAGGTCTTTCATCAATGACTAAGAATGTGACCGGTGTCTATATGATTTAACAAGTATAGATAACAGGTGTCTAGACCTCAGACAGGTACTTTGTATTGACAGGTGTCTAGACTACAGACAGGTGTAGTTGACAGATGTATTAAATACAGACAGCTGATGTTGGTTGACATGTGTCTAGACTTCAGACATGTGTAGTTGACAGGTGTATACAATACAGACAGGTGTTGTTGGTTGACAGGTGTCTAGACTACAGATAGGTGAAGTTGACAGGTGTCTAGACTACAGACAGATGTTGTTGGTTGACAGATGTCCACACTACAGACAGGTTTTGTTGACAGGTGTATAGAATACAGACAGGTGTTGTTTGTTGACAGGTACAGTGCAGAGGAAGAGAACTACCAGTTCCGAATGACTGACCATGAATGCAGCGTATGTTTTATGGAGTTCCCCGGAGCTGAGTTCTACAGGATGAGACAGTGTGGTCACCATGTGTGTCGGGAGTGCATGCAAACCCTTTGTCAAATCCATGTCAAAGATGGCACTGTCACAGAACTTGTGTAAGTTGTCCTAAGTCAGCAAACCATGTTTCAAGGCAGGTAATAACACAACGATTTTCATTGTATCTTTATAGAAGCCAAAGCTAAATGTCAATGATCAAGCTTATAGCTCAACTGAATTTTCATTATTTTGTACCAGAAGCCTGCTGTACTTTGTTTAAGTGTGTACTTTAATCAAAGAACATTACCTTTATAGAGTGAAATGATCAGTCACTATTGTGACAAAAGTGCAAGACATGGTGTAGGGGGGGGTGGAAAGGTCATATTACAGTCAATTCTTTTTAAGAAAGGTAATCTGACGACCACAATTGACCTTACGCCTGTGACAGATAACACTGTCCTTACAGGTGTCCAGAGTCAGAGTGTAAAACAGACATCCCACCAAGTGTCATCAGAGAAGTTGTCGGGGAGGAACAGTTCTGTCGCTATGAGCGTCTTGCTCTACAGGTAACATATCTGCTACCAGGAGTAGCTGGGGGGATCAAGTCTCACTCTAAAGGTAAAACCCTGCAACCAGGAGTAACTGGGGGGATCAAGTCTCATTCTAAAGGTAAAACCCTGCAACCAGGAGTAACTGGGGGGATCAAGTCTCATTCTAAAGGTAAAACACTGCAACCAGGAGTAACTGGGGGGGATCAAGTCTCACTCTAAATGTAAAACACTGCAACCAGGAGTAACTTGGGGGATCAAGTCTCATTCTAAAGGTAAAACACTACAACCAGGAGTAACTGGGGGGGATCAAGTCTCATTCTACAGGTAAAACACTGCTACCAGGAGTAACTTGGGGGATCAAGTCTCATTCTAAAGGTAAAACACTACAACCAGGAGTAACTGGGGGGGATCAAGTCTCGCTCTAAAGGTAAAACACTGCTACCAGGAATGGCAGCGGATAAAGAAAGGAGTAGCTGGGGGATAAAGTGTTGCTGTACTACAGGCAACAACACTACCAGTAGGAGTAGCTGGGGGATAAAGTGTTGCTGTACAGGCAACAACACTACCATAAGGAGTAGCTGGGGGGGGGGGGGGGGGGGGGGGGTATAGTGACGCTGTACAGGTCACAACACTATCATTAGGAGTAGCGGGGGATATAGTGTCACTGTACAGGTCAAAACACTACCATAAGGAGTAGCTGGGGGGATATAGTGTCGCTGTACAGGGAACAATACTACCATTAGGAGTAGCTGGGGGATATAGGGTCACTGTACAGGTAACAACACTACCATTAGGAGTAGCGGGAGGATATGCTGGGGGGATATAGTGTCGCTGTACAGGTAACAATACTACCATTAGGAGTAGCTGGGGGGTATAGTGTCACTGTACAGGTAAAAACACTACCATAAGGAGTAGCTGGGGGGATATAGTGTCGCTGGACAGGTAACAACACTACCATTAGGAGTAGCTGGGGGGATATAGTGTCACTGTACAGGTCACAACACTACCATAAGGAGTAGCTGGGGGATATAGTGTCGCTGTACAGGTAACAATACTACCATTAGGAGTAGCTGGGGGATATAGTGTCACTGTACAGGTCATAACACTACCATAAGGAGTAGCTGGGGGATATAGTGTCACTGTACAAGTAACAACACTACCATTAGGAGTAGCTGGGGGGATATAGTGTCACTGTACAGGTCACAACACTACCATAAGGAGTAGCTGGGGGGATATAGTGTCGCTGTACAGGTAACAACACCACCAGGAGTAGTAACTGGGGGGATAAAGTGTCGCTGTGCAGGTAACAACACTACCATTAGGAGTAGCGGGGGGATATAGTGTCGCGGTACAGGTCACAACACTACCATAAGGAGTAGCTGGGGGGATAAAGTGTCGCTGTGCAGGTAACAACACTACCATTAGGAGTAGCTGGGGGGATATAGTGTCGCTGTACAGGTAACAGCACTACAATAAGGAGTAGCTGGGGGATATAGTGTCACTGTACAGGTAACAACACTACCATTAGGAGTAGCTGGGGGGATATAGAGTTGCTGTACAGGTAACAACACTACCATTAGGAGTAGCGGGGGGATATAGTGTGGTGCTTTACAGGTCTCAACACTACCATTAGGAGTAGCTGGGGGGATAAAGTGTCGCTGTACAAGTCACAACACTACCATTAGAAGTAGCTGGGGGATATAGTGTCACTGTACAGGTCACAACACTACCATAAGGAGTAGCTGGGGGGATATAGTGTCAATGTACAGGTAACAACACTACCATTAGGAGTAGCTGGGGGATATAGGGTCGCTGTACAGGTAACAACACTACCATTAGGAGTAGCTGGGGGATATAGAGTCGCTGTACAGGTAACAACACTACCATTAGGAGTAGCTGGGGGATATAGTGTCGCTGTACAGGTAACAACACTACCAGTAGGAGTAGTGGGGGGATATAGTGTCGCTGTACAGGTAACAACACTACCATTAGGAGTAGCTGGGGGATATAGTGTCACTATACAGGTAACAACACTACCATAAGGAGTAGCTGGGGGATATAGTGTCGCTGTACAGGTAATAACACTACCATAAGGAGTTGCTGGGGGGATATAGTGTCGCTGTACAGGTAACAACACCACCATTAGGAGGAGTGGGGGGATATATTGTCACTGTACAGGTAACAACACTACCATAAGGAGTAGCTGGGGGATATAGTGTTGCTGTACAGGTCACAACACTACCATTAGGAGTAGCTGGGGGATATTGTGTTGCTGTACAGGTAGCAACACTACCAGTAGGAGTAGCTGGGGGATATAGTGTCACTGTACAGGTAACAACACTCCCGTAAGGAGTAGCTGGGGGATATAGTGTCACTGTACAGGAAACAACACTACCATAAGGAGTAGCTGGGGGGATATAGTGTCACTGTACAGGTCACAACACTACCATAAGGAGTAGCTGGGGGGATGTAGTGTCGCTGTACAGGTCACAACACTACCATAAGGAGTAGCTGGGGGGATATAGTGTAGCTGTTCAGGTAACAACACTTCCATTAGGAGTAGCTGGGGGGATATAGTGTCGCTGTACAGGTAACAACCCTACCGTAAGGAGTAGCTGGGGGATATAGTGTCACTGTACAGGTAACAACACTACCATTAGGAGTAGCTGGGGGGATATAGTGTCGCTGTACAGGTAACAACAATACCATTAGGAGTAGCGGGAGGATATAGTGTCACTGTACAGGTCACAACACTACCATTAGGAGTAGCTGGGGGATATAGTGTCACTGTACAGGTCACAACACTACCATAAGGAGTTGCTGGGGGGATATAGTGTAGCTGTTCAGGTAACAACACTACCATTAGGAGTAGCTGGGGGGATATAGTGTCACTGTACAGGGAACAACACTACCATAAGGAGTAGCTGGGGGGATATAGTGTCACTGTACAGGGAACAACACTACCATAAGGAGTAGCTGGGGGGATATAGTGTCGCTGTACAGGAAACAACACTACCGTAAGGAGTAGCTGGGGGATATAGTGTCACTGTACAGGGGGATATAGTGTCGCTGTACAGGTAACAACACTACCATAAGGAGTAGCTGGGGGGCTATAGTGTCACAGTACGGATATAGTGTCGCTGTACAGGTAACAGCACTACAATAAGGAGTAGCTGGGGGATATAGTGTCACTGTACAGGTAACAACACTACCATTAGGAGGAGCGGGAGGATATAGTGTCACTGTACAGGTCACAACACTTCCAGGAGTAGTAGCTGGGGGGATATAGTGTCGCTGTACCGGTAACAACACTACCATAAGGAGTTGCTGGGGGGATATAGTGTCGCTGTACAGGTAACAACACTACCATTAGGAGTAGCGGGAGGATATAGTGTCACTGTACAGGTCACAACACTACCAGGAGTAGTAGCTGGGGGGATATAGTGTCGCTGTACAGGTAACAACACTACCATAAGGAGTTGCTGGGGATATATAGTGTCGCTGTACAGGTAACAACACCACCAGGAGTAGTAGCTGGGGGGATATAGTGTCGCTGTACTGGTAACAACACTACCATTAGGAGTAGCGGGGGGATATAGTGTCGCAGTACAGGTAACAACACTACCATAAGGAGTAGCTGGGGGGCTATAGTGTCACAGTACAGGTAACAACACTACCAGTAGGAGTAGCTGGGGGGATATAGTGTTGCTGTACAGGTAACAACACTACCATTAGGAGTAGCTGGGGGATATAGTGTCACTGTACAGGTAACAACACTACCATTAGGAGTAGCTGGGGGGATATAGTGTCGCAGGACAGGTCACAACACTACCATTAGGAGTAGCGGTGGGATATAGTGTCGCTGTACAGGTCACAACACTACCATTAGGAGTAGCTGGGGGGATAAAGTGTCGCTGTACAGGTCACAACACTACCATTAGTTAGGACTTGCCTGGGGGGGGTATAGTCTTGCTCTTCAGGTAAAAGCACTGCAACCAGGAATGGCTGTGGATATAGTTATGTATAGCAGCATCATCTCAGGGCCCTAGAGGCGGTCAGGTAATTTCCCCTTCTATTTGACAGACTTGATAAATTTCTGACTTTAAATTTCACATTTTTAGCTCACCTGGCACGAAGTGCCAAGTGAGCTTATGCCGTGGCGCGGCGTCCGTCGTCCGTCCGTCCGTCCGTCCGTCCGTCGTCCGTCCGTTGTCCGTCCGTCCGTCCGGCGTCCGGCGTCAATATTTTACTTTAAACAACTTCTTCTTAATAACCGAAAGGCCTAGGGTGTCAATATTTGGCCAGAAGCAAACTTGGATGAAGGGCTACAAAGTTTGTTCAAATAAATGACCTTCACCTATTTTCAAGGTCACAGGGGTCAAATATGTCAAAAACTTTAAACATCTTCTTCTCAATAACCAAAATGCCCAGGGAGATGATATTTGGCCAGTAGCATGCTTGGGTGAAGGGCTACCAAGTTTGTTCAAATGAATGACCTTCAATTATATTCAAGGTCACAGGGGTCAATTGTATTAAAAAACCTTTAAACAACTTCTTCTGAATAACCAAAATGCTCAGGGTGATGATATTTAGCCAGTAGCATGCTGAGATGAAGTGCTACAAAGTTTGTTCAAATGAATGACCTTCACCCATATTCAAGGTCACAGGGGTCAAATATGTTAAAAA